CGTTGATGAACGCGTTGTAAGCGACGTGTAACGTAACGTCGAGCTATTCACGTGTCCCTAAATGCATCTAGGATGCAGGGGTACTCAAACTTTGCGGTGATTGGTTAAACGAAGTGTGCAAGAGACACATCATTGAATATGTTGAGCTTCGTTAGTTCCGCATTTTTTTCATCATAAACTGAAATTTATATCAATTTTTAATTATCTATATACACAGTTTATATTGGCGTTTCTAATTGCATTTCTAATTAGATGTCATCTACGCGAACAACCAGATAAATAAAAAAAGAATCAGTTTCCGGGATTTCATTTTAATAACGTGTCTTTAAATGCATCTAGGATGAGGAGTATTTTTCATTACCTTTCATTATCTCAAATTTACATTAATTTTAATATCTATACACAGTTGTCAGTTTTCGATTTACATCGGCATTTCTAATTGGCCGCCATCCGTGCGAGCAGTTGGACGAGTTGAAAAAAACTCAAATTCCATGTTAATAATGCTAACGTCCATTCGAAACCACGCATTGCGGTATATCTGTGCAAACGCATAATTTTATGACGACGACGTATATATATATATAAATGTAATTTTCTTAACGTATCATAAAGTTAATAGACGTGTAATATACGCGTTTATACATACATATATAGCTATCTCATTTCGCGTAAAGAAGTCTAAATTTTTTTCGCGGCCGCGTCTGCAATTAGGACGCGGAACTGTATAGAGGCCTGACTTGACTGACCGCGTTCTCGCGTCCGTCGTTACTTATAATACATCGCGCGGAGATAAAAATCGCGGAAAAATGTCGCGGTTTGAGAACCCGGGCCCGGGTAATTCCGCGCGACATCGGCCGTCCCGCGGTTGCGGTACCGCTCGCTGAATGCCCATAGCGCACACGATTATCTACCTACCTACGCCCCGGTTGGTTCCGAGAGGCGAGAGAAAGAGAGAGTAGCGAAGCGGCAATCTCTATCTCGCGGCGGCGGCCGCAAGGAATACGCGCTCTCGCTATACAATATGGTTTTACACGCCGGAGGCGGCGCCGAACGCACCGGATATCGCATTTGCCTGTCGGGTCGAAGGGCAGCCCGCGATTATAACCGCGCAGGAAATCGATTCCGTTAGAAAAATTGCCGCGCGGAATTCATCCCGTGTATCGGTTTATCGATAGATATCTATCGGCGCGAGGTGAAAGGTCGAGATATGCGCCTTTATACGGGAGCTGTATATAAAAGAAGGAGCTCTCTTCTCTCTTTCGGGGTCCCCGATTTTCTATCTCTCGCGCATGTCGGATCGTAAAATTTATCGATCCATGGGAAATCGGGTCCGCGCCGCTTTGAACGGTCATTAACGTCGTCGTTGAAATTTTTCCTCCGCGATTAGGTTGTCGTAAAACACGTGGAGAGAAATCAGTCGCGGGAATGTGAAACGATGTGTTAAGTAGTATATACACCTGGCAACTGAGACGAGAGCGAGGCTGAAGAAATCCTCGTATTAGGGTCATTATTTTCTTATGTATCTTCACCGTTTATAAATCGAAAAAATAATTACGGGCTTTTGAGAAACCTCTTGATTTAATTCAATTAAGTTTGGGTAAAATTAAATTACATTCGGGCTTTCGTTGACCTATGTAAGTGTGGTGATGAGTCTTTTACGGTTTTCGATTCTTTTTCGAGCCTTTTACAGTTACGATATCAAACGCTGTCAAATAATGTCATTTCCGTCATTGCTTGACACTGCAAACTGTTTTCGAAAACTGTAAAAGATGAATATTTATTATATACATTTTAATAAAATTAATCGAACATATTTTATATCTTATTGTGGTAGAATAGATATTAATATTTTTATCGTGGTAAATATTAATCAGAAAAACTCTTCCAGAACCATATCGTTCCACAATTACCATGATTTTCAGGGTAAATTCCGAAAGACAATTCTCTCTGTGTATAAGATTTTTTCGATCGGAATATATAACGCGGAATTGATGAAATTATCCCGACATCAGATACGTTCATGCTTTGTAGTCATTTAAATCGCTGTTCTTGCCTCACGAGTCTTAAGGTCGTCGAATGACATTCCGTTTGCGGTTTTTGCACAATCGCCGTCCGTCATTCATAGCGAAATCCTCGCGTGTGACAGTTTTTGCGGCGAGCTCGACACCTTCGGCATGGAAAACCCTTAGGAGGACCTTGAAAAAAAAAAAAAAAAGATGATTGTCCGGAGAGAGGGTCCTCGGGTCTTCTTCGGTCTCTTCGAAGAAGAGAGAGCACCACAAAGGAGGCGTGTCGCGCACGTACGGACGGGTCGCCATGTTACGTTCCTCACGAACGGGCCCTATTGTACGTGGGCACAATTCGGACGAGAAATCGTCTTTTCCTTTAACCACGCACTATCCGTAATAAACGGCTGTATATCGCGGACGGAGATCGAAACCAAACCGCGATACTGCGCTAAACCGTATTGTTCAGCGTCGCGCGAGACACGTGCGCTCGCGTTCCTACGAGTCGATTATGTTAATATCACGGACAAAACGCGACCTACACTTTAACTCTCTTTCGAGCATGTGAAAGATTGATAGATACGACACTTTGTTGTCCTGGGACAAGCTCCCAGGGAGTAAAGACCATGCGCCGCAGATAAACCGATGTAATAGCAAGTTGACTCCGCAATTGTATTTCTTCTTTCCGCCGGATAATTATACTGTTTTATGTCTCTAAAGAGACAGCCCGCTTTAGACGATTTAAATAAATAAATATATCTAATATAATAAATTTATATAATTGAAATTTATAAAATTTACGAAATAATAAAATAAATATAAAATGCTACTTTACGTATTGCTTAATACAAAAAATATTTTAAAAATATATATCACATTTTAAATATACATATCACACCTATGCATTCGCGAATATTTGACACATAAAATTCCAAATAAATTTTATTTTGAAAGCGAGCTTTATAAAGAATACTTATCAATCTTTTACCGACATGCAAAATGTCTTTTTTCGAAATTATCAATAAACAAAAAGAGTGCGATAATTTAATAAAAAAATAACAGAATGCTCCGAAAAATCTATGGCTTCTTGTTATACAATTTTAAAATATGTTTCATTCTTTTCTAATCACGCGTATGTCTAATAGATAAATTTAATTTATTCCAAAAACTAAATTACAAGTAATGGAAGCACATATATATCCTCCGCTCATGTATTATACATTGCTTAATCAACATGTTAATTCAGATATGAATTTATCTTCAGTGTGAAAGATAAGATACTGTTGAAACAGAGTAAGACTTATGTAAAAGCAGGCGCTAATCATTTAACGGATGAGAGAAATAGGACTCTCACTTTGGGTGGTCGGGCTTTGAAAGTCTCAACTCTTAATTTTTATTTGTTGACATTCTTAAGAAAGGAACGATTATCCACACAATGGTAAAGTTTCAAGCTCTGTTCTGATTAAGTTTACATATCTAAACGCGATCGACAAAGATTAATCCCTTTTTATCTATTCCTATCTAATTTTAATTACGATGAAATCAGCCTTAATAACGAATCTAAATTTCATTGCGTGTCTTTGTTATGGGAAACCGAGATAAAAAGTACGCTTACGCGCGTATACCTGTAGATTTCATATAGAACAAGAAGAAGAATGTATGAATAAGAGCCATAAATGCGAACTCCACTTTAAAGTAAAGTCATATCTAAAGTGGATCGTGTAGATTATAATAATTTCACTTTTTGCACTCATTTAAAGGAGCACAAATAGAACCAAGAAGCTGTCGAGTTATCGGTTCCAGTTGCTCCATAAGTTCCATATACTCGCAAACGATCTAGTGTTTTATCTCCTCGAATGTTCCTCGCAATCTGCGGCAATTAAGGAGCTTACTGCGGCAAAAGAGAGATTGTCGTCTCATCAAGATATTTTTTTATCGAGTACAAATATTCCTTTTTATCCCTGCTTTAATCGCCAGCCATAGCTAGCGCGATATCTAATCGCGGCGGAAGGGAACGAGACGTTTTACGCGCGGCGTGTCTTTCAGGATGACGTCGTTGAAGAAGAAGTCGCTCCTCGCAAGAAGAGAAGAGAACAGAGCAGAGCAGAGCAAGAGCGCGCGGCTCGCTCGCTCACAGAGGCCCCGGGGCCCGTACGCATACGCGGAATATAACCGGGCCCCGGCGTTATATTCCGACGGTGAGGCCCCGACACGCCGCGCGTATTAGAAACGAATATAAATATATCGGGGGACGCGAGCGCGAGACAGAGAAAGAGAGACACGTGGTGCAGAAAGAGGGGAGATCGCTCGCGCGTATTGGTAACGTTGGGACTTACACACGCATATTGGGCCTTATACACGCCGAAGACCTCTCCTCCGTTTCTCCTTCCTCGCTCGCGGGCCCTTGCCGCCGCCACCGCCGGCCCCTGCCCCTTCGAGTCCCGGGCCCCGCATCGGGGGCCCGCTGAGTCCCAGAGTACGCTCAGTGTCCGCTCGACTTTAGCACGCCCCGCGCGGAACGAAGGACGGGACGCGCTTCTAAAAGCGCTTTAACGCGCGCCGCCCATTCTCTCTGTGTGTCGCATTCTCTTTCTCTGGTGTGATGATTTCTCTCGAGTGATCGCGGTCAAAGTTTTTGCTCCGAAATCTAGAGTGCTCCGAAAATGGTGCTCCGAAAAATCTGTGATGAAGGATCCGTGAGGGATCGTTGACAGGTGACACGGAATCTTCCGCAGCTGTCATCATCCCCGAGAACTCGAAGATCGGGCCCCTATCGGGCCCCGCTGAATCCCCACTCTGGGAGGATCACCTCTGCATAGCTCGTCGCATGCGTGTCGCGCATTAAAAACGTTAATCCTCGTGCTGTACTACCGGTTATACATACAGATTGGGCCTCATCCTCTCTGTCTGTCCTTCTTGCTCTCTATCTCTCGCGATCCTCGCGTCTCCTCTTCTCTCGCTGCGGCTGCTTTCGCCGGAGCGCACTCTCGATCCTCTCTCCCTTGCCGCCTTGTTCTCTTCGATCACTCGTCCCTCTCGCTGTCTCCGTTGCTCGAGATATCGTTCGCGTCCCGCCAATCGAGAAATGGTGAACGAGCGACGCGATGAGTCCGATCCCGCCGCCGGCGAGACATACGCGAGACATATACGAGGACGATACGGTGCGAGCGATTGAGTTCCTTCGTTCTCCCAGCCGAGGAGGCGACTTAATCGGGACATCCCGCGCTTCACGAGACAGTTATACATCTCGCGGGAAGATTTTTCTTCTCTCCCTCTCTGTGTGTATCGATGCGAAGAGGATGGATGGACCTCGTCGAAATAACGGAGATGACTAAATAGCGGAGGATGCCGCGTGTTCACGAACGCGGAATCGAAGAGGTAATATCGAAGAGTGTAATTCGTTTCCGTCATTATTTCGCGACCAGCGAGAAGAGACGCACTCGAGGGGACTAGAATGTGCCCGGGAAGAGGAAAAAGGAACATCGCGAGAGGAAAGATAGAGTGCCGAGATATGATACCAGTCCTCCGGTCTAGTGTCTATCGAACCTGCCGTTTGAATTGACGTCGAGAAGATGAGAGAGAGAGAAAACTCGAGTGCATCCGTCTCTCATTAGCCTCCTGCTCGAGAAGAGACTCGAGGGGTAGCTGATCCGTCAGCGTGGAATTTTGCTCGCCCAGAGACAAATGCTCTTCGATGAGCGAGACCACGAGCTGTTCCAGGAAAGTCCCGGCAGAGAAGAAGAGTCTCCGAGCTCCAGAGACGCAATCAAGGGCGTATATCACGGAGAGAGGCATTTAATACGCTTACACTACCTTAGGCAGAAGGGTTCTCTACGGAGAGAACAAAAACCCTCCGGTGCCCCGAAGCGTCGCCTTATTAGCTTTTGCGAGAGGACGACCGAGAAGGACATAATATACCGGAGGTGGGAAAGAACGAAGGAGAGAAGATCCCGTCGGCGCGCTTCCTAGATTAGAAGGTCTCGCCACGACGATTATTACCGTCGGTTATTCCCATCCCCCGTCGAGGACACACCGGTAAAGAAGCCCGCGAAGGAAGAGGAAATCGATCTTAACGACCTCGTCGTCGACCGGAGTCGGGTCCGGATGAAGAAGAGAAAGCAGCATCAGCATGTCGAGCTTGGCGCGAAGAAGACACACGACGTTGTTCGGCTCCAAGAGATGGTGGCAAGGCGGCTGCTGGGCGACCAGGAGCCACCAGGAGGCGTACCTGCGCAAGCTCTACGGCAGGAAGAACAACGACGCCAGGAACGGTAACGGCGGCCAGGTCGACGGGGACGTCGCCGGCGGTATTGACGCACCCTGGGCGACGCCCGGCGTCGTTTACGATCTGCCGTCGATCGCCGCGACCGGCCCCGACGAGCACTACCTGGACGCGTTCCTGAGGAATCGCGACGTCGCGACCGCGAACGATGACGACGTCGTCGACGACGTCGTCGCCGCCGTCGTCGCCGGCTGCCCGGCCCTGACGGCGTCGCGCGCCAGCCCGACGGAGAAGTGCGTCGAGTTCCTCAAGGGCTCGCACCACGACGACGGGACCAGTCTCGAGCGTCGTCCGGACGCGACGGAATACGGCTCCCTGCATTCGACTTACGATGTCGCCGGTTGCTCGGAGTAAGTTGCGTTTGTAGTGACGGAGAGGAGGCTTTTCTACGCGGGCTACTAAATCTTTGCGATTCAAGAACTCGAGAAAATACGAAGCATTTGGTCTCAAGTGTGTGAAAAGAGTTTCTTTGCCGGTTATGTGGAATATTTTTCAATAATGTTACAAGTTTTCACGTCTAAGAATTTTCAGATACATATTTCAATTTTCTTATTTTTTTTTTTTTTTAATTATAAAAATGATTTAAAACGTTTTTAGAAGAGATATTAAATATCTTGATAAGCAGATATATTCATCTTGGTTAATAAACATTAGTAATGCGGAGAGAAAACCATATCTGATAAAAAATATATTAATGCAAGATATTAATTAAATATCTTGTTGAACAAATATATTTATTTTGGTTACTTACTAAAAATTAATAATGTGAGAGAAAATCATATTTGATAAAAAATAATCTTGGTGAGCAAATATTTGTCTTGATATAATTAATAATGCGAGAGAAAACCATATCTGATAAAAAATGATATTCGTCCTCACATAAATAGTAAAGTCTTATATATGTATATGCATAATTGGACTTTTATGTTGGAATCAAACGATGATTAGCTTTGCTCATTTCTCTTTACCACTCTATCTACTTTCACATGAAATTATCTAGAACGCAATTTCTCGTTTGATGTCTCGGTGTCTTTCACGCTGAATGGAGAACGGCGGTTTTTGTATCGCGGTCCACAACAGCATCAATCGAGAATAATTTCTCGGTTATGGTAAAAGTTCTGTACCACATCGGCTTCGCTCGAAGGTTTCGATAACTACTTAGCGCTCGCTGATCCAGAACATGTGGAACAGCACACGCGATTCTCTTACATGCTCGAAGCATTGAATTTTAAATCGAAACATATCGATTTATTCAAGCGAGGAGGAAAACGCTGTCGGATGGTTAGGATGTAATAATTCATCGTTCCTCCTTTTATCTTGTCACGGATTGTGTTCCATTTCTCTAGTTATTGTATCCAATTTTCTGTTACATTTTCAAGCCTGAATATGCGCAGAAATATTTACGGAATTTTTTTCAGATTTTAATCCTGCGATCCTAAATTCTGGACTTTCAGATTTCGAGTTAAGTTAAGCCTATATAATTAGACGGAGGCGATCCTAGGCTCTAATACTAGAAAGATCCTAAAATGTAGGCCTATAATTTAATTCAAGGAACTGTAAGAACGAGAAAACCAATATCAAGATTATATTCTCTCGTAAAAATTTTCTTATTATAAACTTACCTTGAAATCTCAGCGTAATATATTGTAAACTTAAAATACATATTATGATCTAATTTCCATTTTAAACGAATTTCTGGAATAACAATTGATACAAATAATCAGATAATTATATAGCAATTTTATTGGAATGCCTTTTCCATATTTAAAAATATTTGAAAAATTTTAATATATACATATTTTAATTTATTGTATTATTTAGAAAAATGATATGATGATTCGATATTAATATTTAAAGAGAAAGATTTATTTGAAATAATTTTTATTATAATATTAATTTGAAAACTATATTAATTAAGTATATTAAATAATTGAAAAGAGTATCTTCTTCTTATAAATATTTATTTCTTTTTTTTGTTTTGTTTTATATTGCACATTAAAAATATATATTTTCTACTTTATATTAAAGCAATTTCTGAATCAACAAGTAATACAAATAATTAGATAATTATATAGCAATTTATCAAAATGCCTTTTCCATTTAAAAATATTAAAAATATTTAACACTATACATATATTTTAACTCATTGTATTATGAAAAATGATTCGAATATTTGAATTTATTTGAAATAATTTTTATGTCAAATAAATTTTTATTTTAATATTAATTTGAAGACTATATTAATTGAACATATGAAATAATTGAAGTGCCTTTTCTTATAAATGTTTTCTCTTTTCTTCTTCCAGGAAAGTGTGCAGGAGCTGCAGGTGCCCGCGAGAGGAGCACCAGCGGGCATCCACGGAGGCGGGCGGTCCCTCGGGACTCGGCCTGGGTCCGGGTTCGCCGATGGCGATGGCCATGGCGTTCCCGAGCGGCGCCGGTGGTGCGCCTCACCAGGAGCCGTTCAAGAGCCCGGTGCAAGCCGCGCCGGCCGGCCTGGCGTTGCAGGAGGCACTGATGCAGCATCACCAGAGACACTCGCAGAGCGACGACGACAGCGGATGCGCTCTCGAGGAGTACACGTGGGTGCCGCCCGGGCTGAGGCCCGACCAGGTAACTTGTTTGCTTCATCTTCTCGAGATCAATTCAAATCATTCTCGCGGAATAAAAGCGGCGTTTATGAATTTCTCAACGATTGACGCAAAGAACAGCAGCGTGTCCCGAGTGAAACGAGAAGAGAATGTAAAAAGGAAGGTGAAAGAACTTGAATGGAAACTTATATCGATAGATAGAAATCGAGAGTAATATACTGTTAAAGTGTGGAAAGGGATGAGAGATGAAGGACCTTTTGATGTGACACCCGCGCGCAATGCGAGGCAATTCGTCTCGCCGGGGGACCGGTAACCGCGACAGCGGGCCCCAGATCGCCTTCGACGATTACCATCGTGAATGACGACGACGACGACGGCGCAGTGAGTCATCAGACCGTCGTCGGTGAAAGCTCTCGCCGGACACGATGATCAAGCGCAATCCAAAGGGTTCACCCCGAAAAGGGGCACACGAGAGAAGAGGAATATCTTTTCCTCTGGATATTTTTATTTCGAAAAAATATTTCTCAAGGTTCAAGATTTTTCTATAGTTCTTCCAAAATAATTGTCAATGCTTCATTATCAAAATCACCACCTTATTATCCTTTTATTAAAGCTGCAGTAATAATGAGCAACTTTTTGTTGATATTCCAATGTGTCTCATAGGAAATTGCTGTAATCAGCTGTCATTTTTTGAATGCATGCAGTTACTGAGAAAACAAAAATTGTGTTGTTGATGTGATTTAAGGTGAATTATTAGAAATTTTTTCATTACTTTTTTTCAATAAAATAAACTGGTATACAAACACTTTATTTATATCCATTAAAAACTGTAGACTTTCCTCTTTTCAACACAATTTTTATTTTCTCGATAACTGCATGCATTAAAAAATGACAGCTGATTAGTTTCAGCAATTTCCTATGAGACACAGAAAGTTTCTTAAGCTGCGTCCTCACTGGAGCAACTTTTTGTTGATGTTTCGTGTTTCTTAAAAAAGTTACTAGTCACCAAAAGTTTCTTAAAGCTATGGAGCAACATCTTTTTTAAGAAACATGGAACCTCAACAAAAAATTGCTCGTTGTTGCTCCAACGAAGACATAGCTTAACATTGACCCATGATTGAAAGGGTAGTCGAAATGTCAAAAATGCAATCATTAGATTTAATTAAACGTACGATAACGTAGAATCACGCTAGAGAACTTCTGCGAATGGGCTAACTAACGCGCTCATCCTTCTTTTTAATTGGTTTAAGCGCGAGCGTTTCGCACGCGGCGCGGAATAGAGGAGCCTCTCTCTCTTTCTCTTCTTTCTTTCGATGCGCTTTCGTGCCGGCTTTTGCGCGAACATCCGTCGTTTATTTCGCTACTCGGAACGCGATGCGTGCAAATCCTCGTCTTCTTCTTATTCCTCTCTCTTCTCCCTCTCGCTTTTATTTCCCACTTTCGCAGCCCCGTTCGCAGCCTGTCCCAGCCACGTTCGTCCGCGCGTTTTCTTTACTCATTTTAAGTGTCATTACGTCTAACGCGCATTATATATTATGACTCGGCGTTCTCGACGAGGGGACAATAATCCCGCGCAACAAGCTTTTCGCGCTTTTAAGTTCCCGCCGAGGGACGATCATCGCGTCAATTCGCGTTTCCGCGCGAAGATTCCGGCCCAGAAAACATCCGAGAGCGCGTCAAGATCTTGCTCTTGCAAAAAGCGACGAATCGGAAAATATATCTACTCTTGTATCATTTTCTTATTAATTGATAATTCGATCACGCAATCTCGATAGTAAGCTTACCAAGTCGTCCTGCTCGACTGGCACAAATGAAAGAAGTGGCTGATGTTTAACGGCGAAACACGGTAGAGTACTATTGTCACTTGTGTAAAGACACACGTGAGCCGTAACACGCAGAAGGAAAGAGAGATATAGAGAGAGAGAGAGAGAGATTTACCGCTAGATCGTGCGGAGAAACTCAATTATGCGCAAATTCCGATGGAAATATATTGTGTACGCGCTCGCGCGCGGTTTCGCTTTCCAGGGGGATATTCTTATGGAAATATTCGCGTTGACAGTCGGCTCTCGATGAAACTCTGCGTATATATCCTTTTATCGTTCCTCTTTTTATTTCCTTCAGCGAATCGCGCGCTCGGATACTCGTCGTAGCAGGTTTACACGGTCTCTCTCGCAGTAATATAAACGCATTCGTCAGTGTTTTCTTACGCGACTCGTTCCTTCGGTATGTTGACAGTTGCCTCATATCCCCCCTCTGATACTTATCTAAATTTGCAGGCCAGATTTCCAGTGAGCAGGGTTGATTAACGTCAGCCGCGGTTGACACTAAATTCTTTCCTCCTGTCTATATCCGATGATGCGATCTGTAAAGAGACAAAAAATTAGTTGAACGATATCAGTAAAAGTCAGTTGAAGGTTTCAGTCGATGGCGATTAATAATAATCGATACACGTGTATAAATTGGCCTTTTTTGACACATGGATAAATGGATCCTGCGTGTATCTATACAAATATACATATTTTTTATATATATTAAATTATAACAGCGATAACAAGATCTACACGCAGGATCTATTTATTCATGCATCAAAAGAGGTTTTCAAAGACCAGTCTTGTATAAAGTTGACGTGTTTCCTGAATTTTTTGTTATAAAATATGTGCAACACTTTTATGAAATGTTTTGTAAAGTATGTACGTATTAAGATAGACATCCTTGTAAAGCAAAATCATTGGTCTCGACAACGTGTGGTATCTGCGTATGTGACCTACGCGAAGTCACGAAAAATCGTTTACGACCTACGGATAGAACACGTTAATACTCGAATATCTCGAGAATAAAGATGCTCGTAACTTTTTTCGTTACTACGAACACCGTTAAAGAGTATTATGGGTTATATATCGGCAACGTGTGGTATTATATCCTTCGCCAAAGTCGCACGCTCGATGTAAAGATGTAACCGCTAGGTTGCGCCGAACGTAATTTTCTCGCGATATAGGCTTACATCATTATTCACGGATGATTTGACTCGGTATTAGCGGGATATCCGAAACGTACACTCCGCGCATCTACCTTCAGAGACCCCGTAGACCTAATCCCGGCCACTATTGGTGCATCCGCAGGTGCATCTGTACTTCAGCGCACTGCCGGAGGACAAGATCCCGTACGCGGGTAGCGCCGGCGAGCGCGAGCGGGTGAAGCAGCTGCTGCAGCAGCTTCCGCCCCACGACAACGAGGCGCGTTACTGCAGCGGCCTGACCGAGGAGGAGAAGCGCGAGTTGAGGGTGTTCGCGGGTCAGCGGAAGCGCGAGGCCCTGGGACGCGGCCACGCGAGCCAGTTGGAGCGTCCGCACGGAGCCGGCTGCCGAGAGTGCGGACGGGCGATCGCGGCCGGCGAGATGGCAGTCGCGGCGAGTCGAGCCGGACCAGCCGCCCTCTGGCATCCCGCCTGCTTCGTCTGCTGCGTTTGCCGCCAGTTGCTGGTCGATCTTATCTACTTCTGGCGGGACGGCAGGCTCTACTGCGGCCGCCACCATGCCGAGACCCTCAAGCCCAGATGCTGCGCCTGCGACGAGATCATCCTCGCGGACGAGTGCACCGAGGCGGAGGGCAGAGCCTGGCACATGCGCCACTTCGCCTGCCTCGAGTGCGATCGACAGGTAGGAATGACGATGTAACGATGGTGATAATAATAATGATGATGGTGATGATGATGACGCTTGAGATTCAAAGCCGAAGATGTAGGTTTTTCTTGGGGAAAAAGGGTCGATCGGCGTGGAGGATCTTCAAACTTGCTTTCAAGATGTAGGATGAAAGAGGAACTTGAATTTTTTGAAATTCTATTAAGATTAAGGCTCCTGGTCGACCATGTTTTTATATATGTTGAAATTTATTTTGATGTTAAAAAAATGTGTAAATTTAATTTAATGTTTGAAAAATATTGGAAAAAGTTATCGAACCATTATAATAATGAGAGGAAAGAGCAAGCTCGAGATGAGAAAAGATATCAGCTTTTTTGTGAAGGACTGAGAAATTCTCGTTGTCGAGCTGATTCTCGAGTTTCTAGCGGTTGTACTATCGGATACGCACGTCGTGGATTTAATGATTACGTCGCTATCAAGTTTACAACCACGTAGCGATTCATAATCCCGCGCCAGCTGACTCTATCTTATTCTCGAATACCTACGCCTTCCGAGTTAGATAAGGTCGCTCTCGAACGTGTACAGAAGCAACGTGCTTTCCGCGTTACTCTCATTACATCGGGCGTTTGCTTCGAGTGTGAACCGATGAATATATACATACCTATATATGTATCGTGAAAGAAACTTGAGAAAAATTCCTAAGAAAATGTAGGGGTTCTTTGTATTTGATCTACCTGTACGTATAACCTTTTTTTTATTTTATATCAACAATAAGCGATAAAATAATAATTATTATATCCTGTTGAAAATAAAAGAATCCTAGCGTATCTGTACGATATATCGCGAGCACACACTTGAAGCGAGAAGTCCATAAGAACCTGAGCTTTATCAGATTGCTGCTGTATGTAGAGTACATCTAGTGAATAACCGGTCACCGGTATACTACTATCATCACTAAAGCTGTGCTTATTTCTTCCAGATATAATAACTATATTTCTTCGAAATATCCGTCATCATTTTTTTAAATATATTTCTCAACATTCTTGTTCTTCACCCAATTGTAAATTCTTTTTTATCGGTATATTATTATATTATTATCCTACTATTTTTTTATAATTTTATGAAAAAAAAAATCTGCGGATTTAAAATCCTTCTCGGATATCCAAAGAAAAATGCATATATATATATATATATATATTTTCCCATATAAGTTTCATCTTTGCTACGCGATTTGTCACATCCCTCCCTGTGGAATCTCTCGCGATAAATCGTTTCTTCTCCGCAGCTCGGCGGTCAGCGATACGTGATGAGGGAAGGTCGGCCGTACTGTCTCAGGTGCTTCGACGCCTCCTTCGCCGAGTACTGCGACAGCTGCGGCGAACCGATCGGCGTCGACCAGGGCCAAATGTCACACGAGGGTCAGCACTGGCACGCGACCGAGGCCTGCTTCTGCTGCGCCACTTGCCGCGCCTCTCTTCTGGGTCGACCGTTCCTGCCGCGACGTGGTGCCATTTACTGCAGCATAGCGTGCAGCAAGGGAGAACCGCCGACGACACCGAGCGACTCCTCGGCCGGGCCGCCTCCGCCATCCTTCCTCAGGTATATATGTATGCGTTATTTCGCATACCTCTTCCTCCTCCTCTCGCACGAGGTCACGGGGCTGCCTTCATTGTTCTACCTCCAGCTATAAAGCGACGGTCGCGCGGGGATTCGTGGGGCAAAAATTATGGCCGGTTAAGAACGTCCCGCGATTACACGAACCGCTTCCGACTTTGCGGCGCTTTGCATTGCGAGAAATTATTACGGTAGCGATAAATCTTACTACAACGGTCGTCCAACTTATTTCCTGTTAAAAGCCGAGTTATAAAGAGCCACAGAGGCCTGACTGTTGTGTTATTAAAGTTTGTTGCCGACGTTGGCGAGATTGGACATTTTAAATTGTCTTATCTGGGCAATCAGGAACTATAGCTATCTTGATAATTGAAGGAATAGTTAACGAATCGTTTGTTTAAACGTTTCCGATTTATTTAAAGAATTTAAATTTTATTATATTTCATTTTTATTGTGCGTTGCGTATGACGGAAAGTGTTTTTAGTTAAATATATTTCGATTCTTTAAAAGGTATACGATGTTTGTAAACGATACTTTCGACATGGCAGGTTACCGCTGATGAAATCGACAAAACATTGAACCATTTGCACTCGACTCGTTAATGCGTCACCTATAAACTGGCACGATCGAATTTATATTCAGCTTATATGCATAACGACCTCGTTTGCGATACGTGTACAAGGCGCCCCGAATGTCGCATCTAAATTTTATTATGCTTTTAATTGTCGCGTGCTTTTAGCGTGTCGGCTAAATGTGAACATTATTTAATTCAGAATGGAAATAATTAGTAGCATGCGACAGATTAGTTGCTCGATGATGTAGCTAGAGATCTTGAAGAAAGTAATTTTTATTTCTTTCTGACAGCATATTATAATTAATTCAGAATATAAAAATAAAATTCTCCATAAATTATATGGTATGATGAATAAAATTTAACATTCTTTATCACACAGGAGCGGTAGAAGACAAACGGTGGCTACGAGCGAAGGTTCGTCGAGTCCACCGCCACCACCTCCGCCTCCACTTCCTCCAAGTTCGAGGCATACCCTCGGATCTCCTAGGAACTCGCCTCGGATGACCAGAAGGCATCAACAAGTTTCGGCTTCTCTAGCGACGACACCCACCCAAAACATCCTGAGTCCCGAGTTCGCCGCGGAAGCACTTTCTTCCAGCGGCTCCAGGCCCAGTGGCCTCGACAGGGTATTACTAGAACGAAACCTCGAGAGACTGCTACAAGAACGCGGCTCTCATGCGGAAGAAAATCGCAGCGAGTTGGGAAGGTACCGCTTTATTGTGTTGTATATATATACATATTACACAAAATCTAGATTAAATTCAGATCTTTACAGTCATCTACCTTTTAAATAAATGGTGAATAATATATATAATAATATATATAAAATATGAAAATTAAATATGTAAAAATACTAGAATTAAATATGCGGCACACATAAGATGTAATATATATATGTATATAAATTGATTCTGAAATTTATTTCTGTTCCTATCCTAGGGATATATTATCAGATCGCAATTTCGTTGCAGGTTGATGCAAGCGCGAGATCGAGAACCTCTCAGATGCATCCAGAATTGCTCGCCTTCGCACGCGTCGAGCATGCCGGAACTGCCACCTCCGCGACCGTCGTCGGGGCGTCGATTTCAGCGTCGACGTCGACCGCCGGCGCGGCGTCCGTCGGCATTCTGGCGCAAGAGCCGGCGATGTCCCCGGTCAGTCCCGGAATCGGAGCCAGCCAGACGGATCCGCCAACGCCGACGTCGCGACGCGTGCGATTCCAGGGTGATTTGGATGTCAACGATCACGGCGCGACGTCGCGCATTCCTCTTTCGCCGATGAACGATCGGAACTCGTCGTCGTCGCCCTCGCCGCCGCCCATGTCGTTGTCGAGAACGAACGTGTCGATCGAGAAGTCTGCAGGCCGACGAAGTCGCAAGCACGTCTACTTGGGGTGTGTAAAATTTATATTCTATAGAAAATTTTGTAAAATAGAAATTTATCTTTAATGTAAAATTTATAATTGAAAAATGGCTGTTTTCATTTGAAACATATGTTTGCAGGGACGGCTGGCACGTCTAGGTCGAGGATAGATGGCGAGGATGACGACGCCGAGAGCTGTTGCTCGACGTGCAGCTCGTCCAGCAGTTCGGACGAGGCCGCGGCTTACGCGCTGCCACCTCGACGAGCTTACGGCGGCGTCAGGATCTCTTACGTGCCGAACGACGCGGTGGCGTGCGCCCGGAAACGCGCTCCCGCGTCCTGCTCGTCGTCGAATCAAGCTCAGAGGGACACCGAGAAGTGCGTCGTGTCTTGATGACTCCTTCTTTTACGCTTCACGAGTTTCTTCAATGTTGTACCGTCCTCGTAATCACTCGGGGAGCAAACGACGAGAGAAACGACGCTAGAAGAAGAGTTCCTACAAGTTTTGGACGACGCACTTTCAATATCTTCCTATGACTTGCGAAGTATGCGCACGCGTGCGCAACAACGTGAACAATACTCATTTAATTTGTGTAAATATTATTGCGAGCTCTCTTCCGGGACACACCCGTCCCTCTATTTTTAATACCCCATTAATGTATTTGATAATAATAACGACGTCAAAATAATCCTACTTGTTCCACTGTTGTTGACATTACCCGCTGCGAAACGAAAGTATGCGCAGTTTTGATTGAGCATCGCGTAATAGCCTATATTCTTTCTTCGCAACCGACTATTTGCGTGCAAGATCCGAGCTGCTTAGCGTGAGTATATACCTTTTGATTATACGCTATTAGCCTTTCGAAGCTATATTCGATGATTTATCGTGCCATAAACGATCCGATAATCGTTTTCGTTTAACATCATTTTCGAGGAAAATTATAAAATAACGCTGATAAAATCTAAAGCCAAATATTTGCTGTTCACAGTTTAATTGCGATTCATTTTTCCTAATGTAATTTTTCTTGCGGAATTATGCGTTACCAATTAATTAATTTAATAATTTTATTTTTTCCTTAACTTCACGAGATTAAAGAATTGCTTAACTTTTTCAATTAATTGAAAAATATTTTGTAATTTATATATCTAATTGATACTATAATTAATTATATCAATTATAATATCAATTTATATGTTAAATTTCCGGTGCGAAAACTGGTGCGCTTTTTGCGATCGTAACGAATGCGTGCAAAGAACATCAGCGTGCTCAGAAGCAGCAGATCTAGTCGAACAAATTGATCGTCCGCTTTCATTTTTAGATCCGCGTGGTATGGAAATCTCTGGGTAAAAGTGACGAGACAGGAGCGAAAATTAGAATTTACGGTCTAGTGGCGGAAAGAGCGAAAGTAGTAGCCCCTCTTACAAACAATCAGTCACGACTCTAGCTTCCCGATGAAGGTATTCGATGATGCTTTCTCTCATCTGACAGGAGCGCATTAGACACTCTTGGGAAGATATTGCTTCTGACAGCATGTCGGATTAGCCATTAGCCCCTTGAATTTTTCATTCTTTGATCTCGGATCTCTCGAAAGATCATATCGTTAGCATACGCTGTTAAATGTATTGCTTAATCGACGCTTTGAACGATGTTCGCCTCGCGCGTCTAAATGACAGAAACATTTAAGATAGAATTTGATAAACCGCGTGACTTCGATTAAGATATAACGAGCTTGTCTTGTATAAATGGGAGAGATATCTCATTCTTTTATCTATCGATTTTCCTTAAGATAACTTATTTTTTGCATATATAGATATTTTATTTTTAAATTTCTCTTTAAAAAATTATTAAAAATGTCGCATGTGCGTTTCTCCAATTATCTATTTATATTTTTAGAATGGATCGTCACACACAATTAATAACGAGATATGTTTAAATATTGAATTACTTAATATCAAACTCAATATTTATCGTTGCTTTACCAATGAAGATAACGGTATTGTAATAAGTATATATTCAAAACAGTAGAGAGAGATTACAGAGAAGAATTCTATCGTTTACATTTTTCAATAAGTAGCCACATGTTTTGATAAGGATTACGAGGAGATTAAAAATGGACGTATTAAAGATTCTTCAATATATCACAAATGTAAGTTTTCACAACATCATGATTTCGATATATTTAACGTACAGCGATATTTCAAAGAGTTTTGGACTTGAAAATGCGTAATAGATTGAATAGGAAGCAATATAAAGATTCGACTGATCGCTTTTATATAAACCTCACATAATTACAGGTACAGTACAACAGAAGAAGAGAATTAAGAAAAAATACAAGTGCACCACGATAATAACGAGTGAAGGGCGGAACTAGAGGTGCGAATCGGATCACTGTATATGTTTACGCAGTTGAAGATCGCGTATCGAAAAAAAAGCAAGTAATTTGGCATAAAAATAATTACCGTTCGGCAATCGAGGGAATTGTTTCTTACGCATGAGCGCAGCTAGAAATACACTTGTATGTATACGCAGGAAGTACGTACAATGTAAGATCACGCGCGATCGTGTGAAGGAGGAGAGCCAACCCGCCTCGGGAGGCAAACGTCGAGCACCTCCATCGGAGAATATAATTGGACACGCCTTTCTTTTTCGCACCGGCGCGAAAATTGGCATCGCTACGTATGTGCGCGTGAACTGGGCCATGATTACGCAACTATCGCGTGCGAAATGAACGTGATTTCCGAGTCGGTAGCTACGCGATATAATTACACATCCGAAAAAAAGCACCCTTCTCTTCTATCTCCCCCTCGTTCTCTGTATAATTACTTCTAATCTCGAGTTTTCAGCAGCTATAACGCGTTATTTCGATTCTTTTTCTGATGCTTATCTAAACTCATCCTAGAACTGAGAAACAAGGTGGAATTAGAAGACAACTACTTTAAAACTGCTGGGAAAATATAAGAATGATGAACAACTAATAATTGCAAATTCTATATAACGTCTGTACGGATCATCCTTTTATATTCACAATCAGTCGTATTTTTCCAACGATTGCGCCTGACGGATGGCAACCCTATATACAGGTATCGGATTCTTCTACCTGGCGTATTCATCGATTGATCGATGACACACACGTGAATACGGGGCGTTATGATCAGGAGGGATCCGCGGGCTAGGAAGGTGGGACTAAGCGAGGGAAGGCCGAGAAGGCGACGGTGGATAGGAAGGACGACGTGCCTTCGTGACTTCTTCTCGAGGCCGACCGAAGGGAGAGGCCGCATTCCGGAGCCGCGCAAAGCGGGAGAAAGCCTCTCGTACGCGCTTTAGCAGCCGCGGGAGCCTTCAGAGGACGCAAGCGAGTAAACTTGTCTCTCTCTCTCTCTCTCTCTCTCTCTCTCTCTCTCTCTCTCTCTCTCTCTCTCTCTCTCTTCTCTTCTCTCTCTCTCTCTCCGTTACGTCGTCCTGTCGACGAAATTCCTCGTCGATCGGGGACTCGCGGCCACTTGCCAACGTATGAATACGTGTAGTAGAGTGACCACGTGTCTCTCGAAATTACGTGACTCCTCTTTTCGAAAGATGTGTTTATATAAACGCCTCGCCTTCCTTTTTAACGCTAATTCGATTTGATTAATTTAAAATGGACTTTATTATTTATAAATATATATTTTTAAATATGAAATAGCAGTTTCGAAAATAATTATATTATTGTATTTAAATTTTTGATTTCTCCAAGTGTTCTTTTTTTTAATAAATTTATTCAATAAAACCGATATCGCGTTCAACTACTGATTTCGATTCCTTTTAACGATATTCATCTTACGTTATATCACGCTGAGAATCACGTGAATGAATAAAAAAGCGTCTACGCAACGTAACGTTTCGTAACGAGTAACTAAAAAAACTTTGATATAATTTGATGAAGAAGTCTCGCTGAATAACTTCCCACAGTTACGCAACATATACTGTATAATACACACGTGCCTGCTTTAATATAAATAGAATGTATATTATTTATTTTATTTTTTACTCAAAGTAAAACACCTCTGCGTAGAGCACACAAAACCTGTTGAGCTTCTTCATCTTCTTCTTCCTTTACAAAGCGCTTCCTTTACGAAGCCTCTCAATGATCGTCTCTCCTCATTGACTTCATTCTGAATCTTTCTTCGATGCAGACCGCAAAAAAAGGCTGGTCTTCGCTACGGGGTTGCTCGAGATCAACTTGCGAGCAAAAATCAACGACGTATCTTTCTCTCTCTCTCTCGTTTTCCATTCCAATCTCACTGATCAACATCGCGGTAAGGAACGACACCGTAAGCGGGAACATGCAAACCGCACCTGCGTTCGTCTAATTGGATAACGATATTAGGACTTGGAGTACCGCTAAACGGTCCGCTATCATCGATATACATATATGTTGTACGTGCTTATCGGAGGAATTCTTGCATATATATTTCTCTCTCTCTTTCTCTTTCTTCGTTTCTTTCTTTTTGCAATCATTTCGCGCTGGTTTGAAAAAAAACGCGGCAAGGCGAGGCGTGTCGATCGCGAGGATGGCATCGCGATTCGATGTCACGGTGATAGTACTCGTTTTGCATTCCGATCGAGGCTCAGCGCAAAAAGCGCGAGAGCGCATACCAACGCGAACGACTGCGCAACCTCGGAAGGCTGAATGGAAAGCTATCTACGAATCGAAAGATTTGCCTAGGAGAGCAGAGAAACCCGAATGTGTATGCCGAAACGGCGAGAAAAATAAGGGACTTTCTTTCGGACGAGATTTGATATCTAAAAATCTCAAACACTGACCTCATTAATATAAAATAATGTTTTATCTATTGTTTGTATTATCTTTCTGATTTATTTTTTACTGATACGTAATTTTATTATTATGTGTTTTGTGTAAGTACTACAGGGTTTTTTTACTCGTTAAATAAATAAATAATTAATTAATTAATTAATTAATTAAACGTCAAGTGACGTATGCTTGGTACCTGAAGAGAGTGAGATAAATCTCCTGGAATGTATATATTTTATATATTGTGATTAAATTCAAAGTAGAAATTGGTGATTGCAATTTGAATCTAATGGAAAAGTGGCGATGCATTAGTGCATAATTCGACGATGCGATTTGCATCAACGAAATGCATAATACATCTGAGATGCGATAGGATTATGTAACGCCATTTTTATTTACGCAACGCGCAGCGTGTTTCAAGGTAATTCAAGCTTGCGGAAATGCGGTATACGGTTTATAGTTTCCATCCTTTCGTGTGTAAAAAAAAAACATAAGTGTAATTCGCGATTAGAACGTTTAATTTTTTCTATTTTCTCACATCGAGTCACGCAAAATCAGATTTTCATTAATGAACGCGTGTTCATTCTTATAGTATTCGTGCATGCAGTGCGAGAAAGTAATTTACGCTTGCATATACGATAATTATTGATCTCGTGTTGCGAAAATATACAAAACCGCACATTGCATATTTATGATTCATTCCCCGAGTATAGGATATTTCTAAAGATACACTGACATCAACTGTCGCAATGTTGTCACCACATACTTGCACACTCTCGTATCTCCCGTCAAGTATCTTGGCATATAAAATTATCCGGATTACGCGATCGCGCAATAGAAATTCCTTCAGTGGCCAGCCTTATATGTGTGTTGTAAGATTATTTATTTTTGTATTTAATTCACATTGTTTCACGTAAGCCAATAATATACCTGTCCAACCTTGTAAGCCCGTGCTTTTCACATTTTAGAAATCTCGCCTTCGTCGTGGATTCTAAATCGAGTTGATTATCCCGCCCAAAATTTGCTCTGCATGCAACATCGCGAACGCGAGAAAAGAAAAGCTATATTTTTTTAAGAAACATGGAACGTCAACAAAAAGTTGCTAAAAGCTTTGTTGTCAAAAATTTCTTAAGCTGTGTCTTCCTGGAGCAACAGCGAGCAACTTAAAAGAAAATGAACCATCAACAAAAAGTTGCTCCAGAACGCAGCATAAGAAACTTTTGGCAACAACTAGCAATTTTTTTAAGAAACATGGAACATCAACAAAAGTTGTTTGTTGTTGCTCCAGTGAGGACGCAGCTCTATGTCCAAATTGGAGCAACAACAAGCAACTTTTTGTTGATGTTTCTTTAAAAAGCTGCTAGTTGTTGCTCCAATAAGGACATAGAGCTGTGTTCTCACTGGAGCAACTTTTTGCTGATGTTTCATTTTTTGGAGCAACAACTAGCAATGTTTTAAAGAAACATCAACAAAAAGTTGCTCGTTGTTGCTCTAGTAAAACCTAGAACTGCATCCTCCACTTTAGATTAATATTCCATATTTCTTAAAAGAGTTGCTAATTGTTGCCGGAAATTTCCTAAGCCGCATCCTCACTGGAGCAGGAACAAGCGAGTTTTTGTTGACGTTCGCACGATTCACGCGAATTTGCAAAATCGCGGACTGATGGTGAACTCCCGCAGAGTATCGCATTTATACTACGTCACGTATAAAGGTCCAGAGACAGAGAGGAAAGAACGCGCGCATTTCCTCTCCGCGACATAATTCATCCCATCAGAGTTTTCAAGCTACGAGGAGGGCTCTCGCTCGCTCGCAAGGCAGGTATTCGAGCGGGAGGGAAGCAGAGAACAGGGGAACGCAGGCAAGTCAGGTAAGAAAGCAGGCGAGCGAGTCCTCGGCGAAGAAGGCGGCGATGGTGGGAAGAGGCGAGCGTAAAGTAAGTTTTCGTTCGCTCGGCTCGACTAGGAGCCGATCCGTCAGTCAGTCTGCTACGCGATTCCGCGCGGTCCGTGTTGTTATCTCCGCTGCGCGAGTAGCGCGCTACCTGTTGCTGCCGCTATATACATCTCTCGAGGTATATCCGCGACTGGTTTTCTCTTTCCTCACCGCGAGGTGAACGTGAACGTCCGCGAGCAAAATGGCCGCGCGCTGAAACGGAGTGTCCTCGAACGTCTTCCTCTCGGTCGGAAGAAGACCTTTCCTTGCTCCTGGTTCCACGCTCGAGGCGAGTTGGTCCTCGAGGACGATGTCGGCGCGGGGACGTCTAGGATAGGACCCTTCCGAGGACGAAAGGAAGCAAAGGACGAGCCCGCGCGGGTAAGTTGAATTTTGACGTTTCTGTGTACTTGAAATTGCCGCCTTTTTTTGGGATTTTAATTTCTACGGAGTTTTCCTCGCTCGTATATGAATAATTGTTTCTCGGGACGGTGTGTTGTTGAATGAACAGACGTGTTGAGCGCGATAACATCGACTCGAGCATGTACGAGGTCGACGGCATTCGCACCGTGTTGCCGGTTACGCGGTCTTCTCATGAGAAATATGTTGATGTTAGTCCGCCGTCAAACATGACGCAAGTGTAAACCGTAGGGAGTCGAGTATCACTCCTTCTCTCTAGCGCTCTTTAACGAGAAACGCTCATAAATTCTCGCCTTTCAATTTCAGAATAAACAACACGCGAGAAAGTAAACGCGTCTCTTCACGTTTCTCGCTTTTAAATAATGTTACGAATATAAAGCTGATAAAATATTCATGTAAGACAAGTCTCATACGTATCCGTATGGACAAATCATCAAACTCGATATGTAAAGATGACGTTCAACTCAACTGTTATCAATTTTATTTAAACGCATCATTTTCTCTTAATTAATCGAATAACTCGAGGAAATTCATCAGTAAAAATCGATAAATGATTATATATTAAATTACAAGGAAGAATTTAATTCGTAACGAGCTTATTCGCGTTGAAAGGAGATTATCGCACGTTACGCAATCAATTTATTAAATATATCGTATCAAATAATGCGAGGAGGAAATCCATCGGTAAAAAATCGAAAAATTTGCAAAATTAATTTGCCTTTTGTTTCTAGATAAATAATTGCACATGAAAAATTTCAACTATCGTAACGAGCTTATTCGCGTTGAAAGGAAAAAGATTATCGCCGCGTTACGCAATTAATTTAATTTATTAAATATACCGTGACTAACGATGAAAATAGAATAATATACGAGGAACCGATCGAATCGGTCTTGCTCCAATTTCGATGGGGGCGAAATCCTCGTCGGAGGATTCTTAAGTCGAGCATCACGAAATAACACGGCCGCATTATACCGTTTTCTCTCTCTCTCTCTCTCTCTCTCTCTTATTCAGCTCCGCCGTGTGTGTCGTAACATCGTATCGTATCTGGTTTGTTTATTTCGAGGGAAAACGGAACGGCGAACGCCGTCGGCCAACGAGAACGGGATGTTAATGAGTTCGACGACGCTCGCCTGGAATGCCGGCTCGTTCTCCATAACACATCGCCGCCGTGTTCTCCATAAACGTCTCTCCTCGCGGGAGACCACCTCTCCTCGTACCGTTCCCTTTCCTCTTTTTCTCCTCTCGCGTTCGCGAGATAACATCGCGAGCCGCCGCGCCGGTCCAGGTACGAGAACCCGCGAAGTGCAAACGAGCGCGCGATATCGACAGAAACGGCCAAGGCCGCTCGAGAAATGTTGGGTCGACGAACAATTCGATATCGAGTCGATACGGCGTCGCCGAGTCTATGATCGAGTCACCTACATATTTATTGGATATTGAAAAAATTTCAGGTTTTAAAATATTACTCATTTTGCACACCATTATTCACTTTTCACTATTAATCATATTATGGCGCAAAATTTTATGATAAATTGCTTTTGGTTCTAATAACTCACTATATCATATAGAATTTTCATTAATTCGAATTTAAATAACTATATAATATATTAATTTAAAATTAACACCCGTTGACTGTCATGATAGTTATTGATGACCTATTGCTGTCAAATTTTTTCAAATATTTTTAATAAATGCATAATATCATCAAACAAAATTTAATAATAATAATAAATATAATAAAATATTAATTATTTAATATTAAATAATTATAACCAAACGATAATATAATCAAAGATAAAATATTTTATATCATTTTGCATACTACAATGAAATGAAAATTCCACAGTAAGACGTGCAAAAATTTGCTTGACAGTCAACGTGTTAATGATATCACGTACCCTTGTTTCGCACGTATTCCGCAATTAAAGATAACTCGAAAATTTCACTTAAAATTCCAAACTTTCATTATAAGCATCATCTGATATCTAGCGCGCCGTGAATTCATTAACGTTAGACAACTCGGCAATTACACGAGCAATTAAGCTATACATATATACTCTCCGCGAGGAAACGCGGAGTCGTTAGACTTCAGAAAAAGTCTCAGGGACAAACGAATCACCGTTTTGCGTCGTATCCGAACACAATAGAGCGTCGAAGTCCTCGAAGCGCGATTAGAAGACGAAGGACACCTGCCACTTCCGGTCGCGCCGGCAGACGCTTCCGTGTTACTCGTCGCTTCATTTTTCGCCCTTCGCGATCCTCGGCGAAGGCAGGGATCAACGGCATTCACCGGAATGCCAGGTAGCTTTCCTAGGACGTAACGAAGGAGAACCGTTCCACGTACGCGTTGCGGTCTTAATCTTCTCGCTTTACCTTTTCTTCTCGCGCCCTGCCGAGCACCTTCCGTCTCTTTTCTTCACGTTTATGCCGTGCACGCGGCTTGTGACGTATCAATGAGAACGATCGGCGGCTCCTTTCCGCATTTAAAAGACGGAACTCCAGTAGCGGACTTGCTTCTCCGAACCCTTCTGGCTAGACAAGTCTTTTCAATTATCTAACTTCTATTTTATTTCTTCGGTGCCTTTGCTCCGATATTTTTCTCGCCAGCACCTTCTTTTAAGGGATGGGTTATCAGCAGGGTTCATTCAAATAAAAATCTCGAACCAAGATTTATTCAATTACTTGGTATCGCGTCAAATTAATTTTCCTTCAAACCGACGCTATTGAAATTTAAATTTGTATACTTAAATTTTATTTATTTTATATACACTGAAAAAATTATTTAATTAATGAATATTTATTTCAATATACTGTCTTATTAAATCATTTTTATTTGAAACAAATAAATATTGATTTGTTTCGCAAAGAATTTTCTTGTCAAATCAATATTATTAGTTTCAAATAAATGATTTATATAAGGCGGTATTGAACTAAATATTTATCCAAATTCAATAAATTTTTTTCAGTGTATATATTCATTTTTTCTAATTTATTTTATGCTCTTTTTTAATCGAAAAATCAATCGCCAACCTTCTGAAAATTGGAGAACGATCGGATATTCTACGTGACGAGATGATTAAAATACATAGTCCTTGACGCGCGTTAAAGTCACTCGTACTTTCTATTATCTACATATACAATATATATTTTCTGTGTGTGAGAAGGATGAAGAATATTTGATGATTAATCAAATTCGTGCATGACTAACGCACACGAATTTCCGAAATGTTTTTGCGCGCCAGTCAGCATATTTGAAATAATTTTCGATTCAAATAGAATGCTCCAAAATTGCATGACTCAGGCTCTTCTGATATAAATTGGAGGACGGGGTAATTATTCTTTTTTGTTATTCGTATCGAGTAGTTTTATCAGAATTTTAAATAAGTGATAAGTAGCTTCTGTATATATCGATACATCCTACGCGTTCGTATATATCGACAATAAATAATGACTTGCATTAATAAAGACGCGCCGCATGGGATCGCGAGAAGAGATAGGCATCTCTTATGTTTATCCTCGTTCTATGGCAGGACCGCATACGGTTTATCTTCATCTATTGCGATTCATCAATTATTTATCCCGCGCATCAATTTTGCTATAAGGCGCGTTGACAGCTTCTGCCAGATGAGCGTCCGTTTCCCGGCACGCGAAATTGATAATAACTTTGAATTCTCCTCTCCTCGCGTGTATTTCTGTTCCGTGTTTGTAACGTAATAATACCTGCTATTTTTACGCACTTGTTATATACTTCTCGCCGTCTCGAGCAAAGTCATCAGGAGGAAACGAACTTCGTTCTGAAATTCTTGAAGGAAGAGACTGAAACTATCCTGAATTCCTATCTACGCCAAGCATCCTCAAACTTTGACATATTTAAAATTTGCACGCTTCTAGCTCTGCCAAATTTTGAGAATCTTCTTCTCTTCTATTAATTTATAAGTAGATTTATAGAAAATTTATTTTAGTTCTATATAGAACACGATGTTAGACTAAAATCTTTTATTCTTGCAAATTTTTCTTGCCGAAAAATTGAATTTTGAATATTATTTATGATTAAAAATAAAATGCGCAAGATTTTTGTACGATACCTAATAATGAAAAATATTAACATTAACTTCCTCATTAAAAATTATATCTATAAATATATTTAATATAATCTGTATATATATTTATATAAAAATATATATGTAATATCTTTTTATTAAAAAATATATTTAATTTTTTCTGTTGTAAAAGTTGCAAGACATGTATAAAACTGTGTAAACATTACTTTCTCCAATCTTCAACATTCGAAATTTATTTATTACTTTGTGCCATCTGTGTGTCTCAACAAAATTTCAATTGAGATTATAACGTACGATGCGTGAATTCCTTAATCACCTTTGCGCAAACAATCCTCTTTTTCCAGTATATAATTAGCTTCTCTTGATGATTTAATATTATATTTAATATAATCTACATTTATATATATTTACATAAAAATATATATCTTTTTATTAAAAATTATATTAATTTTCTTGTTGTAAAAGTTGTAAAACATGTATAAAAATGTGTAAATACTACTTTCTATCTCCAATCTTCAACATTCGGAATTTGATTATTACTTTTTTGTGCCATCTGCGTATGTCTTAACAAAATTTCAATTCAGATTATAACGTACGATGTAAATTCCTTAATTACCCTTTACGCAAACAATCCTCCTTTTCCACAGTAATTAGCTTCTCTTGACATATCCTCGCCGGAGTTTGGGAAACGATACTCTACGACTCTTTGTGTTCTTATGTATATTTAATATATACATATATATAAAATCAGTGTTGTGCTTAGATGATTTTAAAATTAGCTAGATAACAATGAGATAAAAATATGTAAAATCATCTTAGATAAGATAATATTATATGCGATTCACCTAGATAATTTTGAAGACTGCTTATGTAAACGCAGTTATAAAAAAAATGTAAATTATAAAAGGCATATAAAAATATATGTATTCATATTTTTATTTATAAATTTTTATCGCTTACTGTTTAAGTTCTACTATTTAAGTATTTTTATGTGCTATAATTCTAAACCAAAATTATTCGAGATAATTTAGTAAAGATAATACTTTTTTCATCTAAGATACAGATATAGATAATACATATTTTTTATTATCTATATAAAGATAAAATGATTATCTAAGTTTTATCTAGATGATCGTCTATATAATTTTATTCAGATAACAACAAGCACTGTATATATTTTTCTCTCGTGTTTTGCTTCCCACGTGGAAATCCGATGCCTGAATGGGACCGTTCATCGCCATCGGCGTCGATGTGTCATTTATATTTATTCCAGCGAACTCTGCAGGTGGTTTCAATAATCCGCGATATTTTCACGCCGTTTGACTCCGTTCGCGTGACACACCGAGCTCTCTCGACCAGAAGGAGTTCACTCACGAATGCGTCAAGAATCGGTCTCTTTGATATGCAAAAGACGCGCCATTCGCGTGAGAGCTGTTCCCTTTTAAACGATGCAACGCGATCGAGACAGTCTTTCGTTTATTCAGCAAACTCGAACGACATGCTGAGTAAATAAAATAAAATAAAATAAAAAAATAAAAACGCTGTTCCATATTTGCGCATTCGTCGAGTGTTCGAGAAGACTCTCGAGTCTCGTTGGATGGTCGCTTCGCGTGGAATCTCTTCGAGTGAAAAAGGCGATGCGGAATTAACGACGAGATAATTAGCGGCTGCAACGTGCCTATTGTTCGCGATCCGGACGTACGCACGCACGTACATAGGTACATGTACACCTCCGGCGTATCTTGACTTGACTCAGGTGACTCATGAGCGCGCGCTACTCGCCGCAAATAACATACGCGTTCTACGAAAAGATGTGTGTGTATGTTATACGTACGCTTTTATGCCTGCGAGAAACGAGATATGAATATCGAGAAGAATTCGCGTTGCGAAATCGATTCCCCGCGCTAATCCTTGGTAATCGGGAATGTAATGCTTTTGATCGCTTCGATAGAGAAAGTAATTGCGCGAATAAACAAATTCCGAATGTTGAATGGAGGTAGAAAGTGGTATTTACACATTTTTATATACGTGTTTCACAACTTTTGCAGCAGAAAAAAATTTGATGTACTTTTTATTGAATAGATATTACGTACTTGTAATATATAAATTATATTAAATTAAATATAATATTCAATATAAAATATAATATAAAATATAATATAAAATACAATATTAAATATAATATATAAATATATTTTTTAATGAGAAAGTTAACGTTAATATTTTTATCATCGTAAAAATCTTGCGCATTCTATTTTTAATCATAAATATTACTCAAAATCCACTTTTTTCGGCAAAAAAATTCACGAAAATAAAAGATGTTAGCCTAACACCGTGTTTTGTATAAAACTTAACAAGCAACTTCGTAAAAAGAAGATTCAGTCCGAAAATGGCCTAAGGGGAATTCAACCGTGCCTCTATAATCAAAGAATGCACACTACCGAGAAGAGATTAGGTTGTAATCAGTTTCGTATGCCGAGTCGTCCCGTCCTGGTTTAAAGATGACGCGATGTTGGGGACTCGGGCAGTTTCTTTACAAAAGACTTTTGTCGTGAGCGGAGATGGCTGCGAGATTTAATAATTTTATTGTTCGACACACACATCTCTCTCTTTCCGCGCGCGCGCAATAAAATGCATAATAAAATGCAGCTACTCCTCTCTTCGCTCATCTCAACAATCGCTTCTTCTGCCTCGCTAAGGGAAACGCGGAGGTGGTGGCAAAGAGGTCGCGTATGCGAGACACGAGTATCCTTCGGATTATGCGAGATCCACGAGATCACGAGCTCGGAGATCACGAGGATCGATAGCACGTCGAGGAAAAGTATATGCTTCTCTCTTTCTCTCTTTAGCCCCACCTCGTTCACCTGTCTCCACGTCAGACTCTTCTTCTGGTGTACTCGTTACGTGTTTATTTTGCAATTATTATACGTTCTCGCGCCTGAAATACCGATGTACATCATCGCTTTGATTAACGGACCGGGAGTTGTGTAAAGAAAAACGTAACACGGTGAAAGCTACTTCAGGGTGTCCAGCAGACTCAATGAAAAAAATTCTCTGACTTTTTCAGATTTTCGAACACCAGAAATTTATTTTTTTCCCTGACTTATTATTTTTTCCAAATATATCATTTGCATATATCTATATGATAAATCAATTAAATGTGAAATCCTTGAGATATTTTTGTCAACAATGAAAAGGTTCGGAAGTTAACACAAAAATTTAAATCAATTATACAATCTGCATTATGTACGATAATCGAAACAAACATGTCGCTATAAACTATTTAAACAATCACCTTTTTTATTTAAATTATATTAATTTGTTTAGTTTTATCTCTATCAAACACATTGAAATAAAATAACAGGACGATGAAAATATAAATTAATGAACACGTTATAAATGAATCGATTTTTAACAACACAGAAAATTAGCGTGCTGGTAGTCAAGAAAAAGTTTATATTTATTTAATAAAAAATTTCAAATTATTGAGACAAATGTAAAATAATGTGAAAAAATCCAGATAAATTATAAAATTCCCTGACAATGCCCGGTTTTCCGCAGATTTCCCTGACCGCTAGACACCCTGACTTTATGTTCCCTTTAAGTATACTTCCGGAAAAATAAAAAAGGGATGCTTGTATTTTTATACTACGTCCTTTTCCTTATGAATCGAGACCTGGAGGAAAGATGTCTCTTATTGCTGAATGTCTTTTCTTACGAAACTGTTCCACTTTGCATATTCAATCGTCCTTTTGTTCAATTTGCCTCAATTTGAAATTTTAAAAGATCGATTACATTAAAAGATCGAAAAATTCAAGCCTCTTTACATATCTGTAAAAGTGATGATTCTCTATTTCTATCTGGGAATTGTGTAAAAAGATAATAATTTTTTTCTATTTATATGACTACAAAGCAACACGCGCATCGAGAGTTTCCCATAATTAAGTGTATCAAATAAGTGCGAGTCGATTCTTAGCATACGCGTGAAAAATCTTGTTTCGCACGTTACTATCTTAAGCGATTTCCCACGTATCTTTGTGAGAGGACGAATTTACAGGCAAGCGGCCGATCATGCAATTCACACAGTGAACGTCTTCACTTTTCACCTTTCGTTTATCTCACGCAAATCTCCTCATTCAAATCTTAGTTCGGCTCGCGTGCCGAAAAAAAAGTTGCTCGAATATATATATGTATATGATTTCGGACAGGCTTCACACGCGAAGATTCTCACTTTTTCTCATTTCTTGACGAGTGAAACTTTTATATATACCTACGTTTATACCTTTTCACTTTTAAAATATACATATACGATTGAACCACTCGACACAATCGGAACAGAATAAAATAAGTAAATGTATGTTTGAATACAGGTGTATAAAAATTAAAAATAGAAACCTCTCTTAGGAATTCATCTTCTTTTTTAATTGTCTCAATTTTTAATCGACACAAATTAGTTTGTAAGCTACACTGTAAAAAAGTATGTAAAATACATAAATAATAAATGTAAAATTGCACGATAAATAATGAAAATGTATACACTGAAAAAAATATTTGTGTGAAATTACATGATTATGCTGGATTGTTTCGAATCATGCAATATTACAACCTATATGAAAGATTACAGATTATATTGTATGTAATTTCATATGAATTATATTCTTATATATTTTCAAGATTAAAAATATTTCACTGAACATGGAATTACATATATAGGAAATGCTAGTAATGTATAAATGCTATAAAATAATGTTATAAATAAAATAGATAAATGCAATATGCTTATAAAATAAAATTCTAATAAAGTATAAAAATATTAAATTTAAAATTACAAGTAATTTTTACATAAGAATAATAATTTTGCCTATATTTTACATTAATATGTATTTTCACTTTATAATAAATATAGAAAAAAATTACAGTGATAATTAAGTAATTTTTCCAGTTTTGAACAAGTAATTTCCATGTAAAAGTGCATGAATATTTCAGTGTACATTTTCATTATTTATTGTATAATTTTACATATTTTTACGTAATATATTACATATTTTTTTACAGTGTATAATTAAATGCGGCCTAATTTTATTCAATATCGGCAACACGGATTGAGTTAACCGCGAGCCAAGAGAATACGCAATTCTTAACATTCAGATCCAGATCACGCGAGGAAAATATCGACTGTATCCGCCGATCTCTCGCTCCGGGATCGATCGATCGACCGATCGTAAAATAACAAAGTTCATCGCTCGGCTTTCAGATCGGCGAGCGATTGGAATTACGACGCTGATGCGGGGGGCTCGGACGGAAGGACTCGTCTCAGGAGAGGAAATATCGCTGGTGAACGCGGAAGCGTCGTGAAGGACATCATCATCTCTCTCTACATCTTCTTTTACCGCGTAAACAAAGATTATTTTCACCCCGTGGACCAGATTACGGAAGGATGTCGCGGAGAACGCAACCGAACTCGACGCTAGTCGCGTCCTGTCTGACGTCACTTTCGCTCCTGCTGATGCTGACGTCGACGGCCTGGGAAAGCGCGCGCGCCCACGTGGCTTTGACGTTTCCACCGGCCAGGCAGTACGACCTGGACTTCCTGGATAACGCCAGGACGCCGGCACCGTGCGGCATGCCTCGTGGTGAGTGGATTAACGACGATTACTATTATTATTAGGTCCATCAGGTGTACGGTATAACGTAACTCATAAGTGCGCGCGTTTCCTTTCACTCCTTTCTTTCCTTAACGCTCAATTTAGAATCAATTTTTCCCCCCAACGAAGAAGTATCGATAATATTATGATTGTATTATAGTGGAGAAAAATGTGAACGGAGATTAAGTTTGGAAGGAACGGGTTAAGAAGACGCTCATTATTCAGATTTAATTGCTGGTGAAATATATGGCTTGTCTCACGGATCATTATTTAACGAAACTTATCATTAAGCTGTTTAGAACGCGAGAAAAAGTTTATTATGGTTTCGACGCGTTGGAATCTTTACACAGTCTTTTGTCGTAATTATTTCAAATTAGAAAGATGAATTGATAATTATATTAGAAAAAATAATATATTATATATTTTTTTTTTTTTTTTTGAAAAGGAAAGTGTAGAGATATTACTATATTATTTCGAGACACACTCGAGACCTTCGGTGAAATGCGAGATTGCGTTGCGAGGAATAGAAACGGAGAGTTAGGAATATTAACTTATTTAATAAAGAATTAAATTTAATTGACTGCAGGCTAAATATTGCAATCTCAGAATAGTACTTTCGCCATTGCGATTCTGAAACGTTATTTCAGCCTTCACTGGAATGTCAGGTGGAATACGCACGCAACGAAATCAGGTTTCTCCCTCAGAAATCTCGCCTCCCTCCTCTTTTCTATAGAATTGGATAAGTTAATAATTTCTTTCCACTAAGTTAAGTTAAAGTTAGTTGCTTGTAAAATTAATTTAGTTAAGTTAAAATTGCTTGAACAAAAAATTAACTCAGTTAAAGTTAAATTAAAATTAAATTAACTGAAGTTAAATTAAAAGTTAATTTTTAAAAACGTTATTTATATTAAATTAGAATTTCGTTTATTGTTTTAACATTTATAACAATTTAACAAATAACAAAGAAATTTTGATTTTTATATAGAAATATATTTTTTGGTAATTACAATTGATGACAAATGAACATAAAAATTAAAAAGAATAATAGTATTCAGAAATTTAAAAAAACTTAAAACTTGGGAAAAAAGTTAATAAGTTTAAGGTCAAAAATAACTAGTTGAAGTTCAAAATTAATACATTTTAAATTAACTAAACTAAGTTAAAAGTTATTAACTTTTTTTTAAACTTTTAACTAATTAACTAGATATTACCCCCGGAAACGCGCATTTTCGTTAGAGTCTCCGAGCATCTCCGGAGAAGCGACGAAAAGAGAGGGTTGAATGTACATCGGGGCGATGTGCAAGAAGGCGAGGGAGGGAAGGGAGCTTAGATTCCATGGGAAAACGACATTAACGTGGAGTCGATTTCTCTCTCTCTCTCTCTCTCTCTGTCTCCCTTTATCCCGGTGGGGATAGCCAGTATGATTCGAAGCGACTTTCACCGACTTGCATGAAGGGAGCGCGAACCTCTCGGCATTATTATCTTCCACGTTTTACGCGTACTCAGAGTCTAGGTAGAAGGGAAAGAGTCAAACAAATTTTTTCCAAAAGAGGGTGCATTAAAAAAATAAATTAATAAATATTTATTTCAATATACTATCTAATAAATTATTTATTTGAAATAAATAAATATTTATCTGGTTTGCAAAAAGCTTTTCTTATATCAAATAAATATTTTTCACATCGAATCAATATTATTAGTTTCAAATAAATGATTCATATTAGGCAGTATTGAAATAAATATTTATTCGAATTCAATAAATTTTTTTAGTGTGGTTTAAAAACTATCATAAGCTTATATAATGATTCGTGCATTAAAATATAAAGTAAAATATATTAATACAATAAAAATATAGTGCCATGATGATTAATTGTATATTTAATCTGATAACTCGATAAACTAACGAGAATTTCTTCTTCAGGGTCAATAATTATAAAATATAAAAGAAAAAAATATCAAAAAATGTTTCAAGATGCGTCCAAGCATATCTATAATTATACATATAAAATTATAATATATAATGTACTTTATATTATATATTGCATAATTTTATATAATTATAATATAATATGTATTTGGATACGTGTCTTGAAGAATCTCTGGAACTTTTTTCTCTTTAATTAATAATTTTTATCATCGGCGAGCTCAACGGAGTGAAAAGTTACACGAGAATAAAGAGATTACGGCTGCGCGTTGAGTGTTTTCACATTGTTGCGGTATAAGGACGAGACGTATAAGAACATTGTTACAATTACCCACCTTGCCCGATGTCGTCGGTGCACCTTCCCTCCCTTACCCCTGTCATTTTCCCTTGCGAAAGCGTAATTAAGACCACGCCGTAGATGGCACCGCGCAGATTGTTACATAAGCGACACGAGGAAAGAAAGACCTGTATCATTACGCTGTCGGGACTAACGCGAATTATATACGTTCGTCTTAATACAATAAGGGAGACGACGAGTCTTCTCCTGCGCGCACGAGCTTCTTTCCGAGCTCCGCTCCCATTTGCTCATCGCCATCTTCGACGTGACAATTAATTTCGTAAATCGTGCTGCTTATCACGAGCGCGGCGTTTTCTCACGTCACGTGTATTATATACGAAATTGCGAAAAAGTCGCGTGAAAAATTGCACGCTCGGACAACTGCGATTGTTCGGTGACATTTCATTTCGCTTACACTGAAAAAAAAATTATTAAATTAATAAATATTTATTTCCACATGGAAATTATTTATTTTGAAAAAGATTTTTCTTATATCGAATAAATATTTTTTCACGTCAAATCAATATTATTAGTTTCAAATAAATGATTTATAAGACAGTATTGAAATAAATATTTATTGAAATAATCATTTTTTTTTTCAGTGTACCCTGTAATCGATAAATTACGATAATTCGATATTAAATTATTTCTCTCGACACTCGCAGCTTTTCTCGTCGTTTCTTCCAAATTTTAATTTCAAATAAATGTTTACATTATATAGAAAATAAGTCGAAGTTTGAGACTCGACTGTGCGTCTTTACGATTGCGTTAACGCGTACCGGTTGATGCGCGGCTATAAATTTTTCTTTCCGCGATCGTAATTTAATCGAGCCGCTCCGACGACTCCGCTCGGTCAATGGAAGAGAAGAACCGCTTTCCTTCCGGAGACGCTCGGGGAAGCGGAAGGGATCGGTCTGGTAATACTGGAAAAGTTGATTAAAAGTACCGGAGGCTAATCAGTTATTTGCATTTATATTAAATTAGTGCGTAAGCCTCGCGGATTCGCCTAGCGTCTCCTGCGGGAAATCCCTTCGCTAAAGGGATTTATATAGCCACAACATAGAATATATAATCATTTGTAATAGAAGAGAATTGGAAAACATTGTTACACAATATACATCTATTGATACAACGCTGAAAAATTGATAAAAATAAAAGAATATATGTATTTTCAATTTTTGAACGATTTTTTAATAATTCTTTTATTAAGTTTTTAATTCAATTTTTTGTGAATTTTATTAATCATTAAATAATTAAATTCTTCTATATATGAATGTCTCACCTTGGTGTCAATCTTTTTAAGACAAGGAGATCTTAATATGACTACGATTAGTATTTTATTGCGGTACTTATCTCCTCTCGCGTTCGAAAGTATATTTGATTGAATAATTAATATAGAGACGAGAGATATTTCGCGGTGTATATTCGACTTTAAAAGCACGTGACCTCCGAAATAGGTCGCAAGGTAATATTCCACGATGACGAATTTTTAGAATTAATCGACGATCCATCATTATCCGATTATACGAAACTTTGCGACGAAACGGTGACAGCCTAATTTTAATATTTCGTATTTCGTTTTCAGGTCATGTCAAGACGTCATTACTGGCAGGAAGCAATTTCAACGTCACGTGGCATCTCGCCTATCCCCACAGAGTGAGTAAAATTCCTCATAAATTCTTTTTATCATGCTACATGAATCTTATGCAATCTTTTTTAAAGAGAGAAAGAGACATCGCCTTTTTTTTACAAAAGCTTAGTAAAGTGAATTAAATAATTATGCGTGGAGAAAAAAATCATATAAAATTATGATTTAAACTTAATCATTCAAACGTATAATAATACGTAAAAAATTGTAAACTATATTATACATAAATAATTCTATAAATTTTATATCAGGAAGTTTATACTTTATGCGCCTTTGTAGCAGAAGGCAAGTTTTCGATGCTCAGAAAATTAATTAGCAAGAGTGTAAAAAACGGGAATCTCTCTTGGGAATGTCGAAAATAATCTCGAGGCACTACCTCGTTGAATATTTTATAGCACCGCGATATTTTTTTCTTCGCTCTGACGCGCAACATTACTGATGCTGATGTATATTCATTATACGGTATATTTAAATTCCCATTATACATACGATAGCGAAATTTTCATACTAATCTTTATTTTATGTTACTTCGTGTAAAAAATTGTGAGAAAATTTTTGTATACAAATAATATATGTACATTTCGAATTATTTTATATGCATATATTTTTTTCATTTTTATCAAAATTCGCTCCACATAAAATCAACGCGGAGAGGAATCTTGAATGAAGTAACGACTCGTTTTATGCTTCGTCCGGCCGTGTCGAGAATCGCTCGGATTTCTCGCGGATATTTTGCGAGAGAGAAAGGGAAACAAAATGTGTGTGTAATAACGCCAGCATGGTTATTGCTGATGCTTATATACTCGGCGTTAACTTGCGCGCGTTACACATCTCTATATATATACTTACGAACGTACCCCAAACTGCTCAAAAGTCGTATTAACGGTTACGTGAAGACGGGATAAAATCGTACGCGTGTGCATTTTATTATTTATGCATCGGGACTACTTTCTCCGGAGCGCTGAACTTTCCGGGCTCCTACGTTTCTCGGCCCGAAACGCGTCCGACATAACGGAGCATTATTATCGCAATTATTTATATGATATTCTAATAAATATTCGTATAAATCAACAAAAAGTAATTATACATATATTAATTTAATTTTATAGTTTTTAATTACATTTTTCTCGCATACTTATTTGAAAATAATTTTTGCGTTTGCGGTTGATGTCTTCATGAATTTTAAAGCATATAAAAAAAAAGAATATATATGATTTCTTCAGTATTTCTTCATGGATTCTTTAATTAGAAATTTAATATATAATGTATAATTTTATTTATTTAATACTAGTATTAATATATTAAATTGTATATAATTTAATATATCAATAAATTATTACTAGTAATAATTGAATAAACTAATATTAATTAATAAATAATAATAATATTAATAAAATATATATTAATATTATAGTAATTAATTATTTATTAATATTATTAATATGATAGTAATATTTATTAATATTAGTATAAATTTTTATTATATATATTTTTATATTATAGTAATTATCTTTTACAATCTGTGCGGTGGATTAATTATTTTAATGACAGTATACGTAGATTCTCGATCGACTGAAATTAAAGTTGGTATAATTCTACGCGATTAAATCTAGATCGAAATCTGGATAAATAAAATTACAGTGAAGGCGGCTATCGATAGTATACATGTGCACAATCGGCCTTGTCGAACGTACACGATTCTTGCGAATCTCCGGTCAACCGAAGGAGAAAGCTTTACGAGCCTTTGGAGAAAGCATTAGTATCGAAGTGCGAAGCGTGACATTAAAGACATCGCGTGTTATCAAAACTCTAAATAGTAGCTCTTGCAATGTCGCTCTTTTGCCACCTCTCGTCGACTGTAAGAGAGAGAGAGAGATATATAAGAGAGAAAGAGAGGTGTTTCTAGAAAGTATTCTAGGAACGTCAAAGATTGTTAGAGAGACTTTTAATTTCTCTCCAAATTTTTTATAATGATCCTATTTTTTTAGCACACAAAATAAAAATGTAGAAATACTGTCAAATAATAATAATAAAATTCTCGTTGCTCATTAAAGTGCACCATGGCAAGCAAACGAGGAAACGTCAACGTGATGGTCTCTCTCGCACCAACCAGCTTGATAATAATCACACCGTTAGGTGAATCGTTCGATTGGTATTCAGCGTACGAGTCCTCGACACTATCCGCAGGACATTACGAATTTGTCCGCTCGTAGTCTACGAAAGGAAAAGAGCACGTCTCTCTCTCTCTTGCTCAAGGTGACTCGCGTTGAATTATTCACAAGCGTGGTCGCCTCGTAGGCATGCGGCCTACTCGTAGGCCGAATAGAGGCGGCTGTTATAGACGGCCAAGAGCCTCCTGAGGTAGGTAGAGAGAAGAGATTGGTATGCCGTGTACCGTAAACTCGAACGTTCGCCGATGACGATCGCTCGGCCACGAAGAGGCGTCGTCTCGCCTTCGGTTAAATGTGCAAAACTCCGCGAGTCTTACTCGCCGGAGCGTGCAGCGAAACCGTATATGCAGCAACTCCCATCCTCGAAACGTTCTCCATTGTAGAAATGCGATTATTCAACAATATCTGCATTTTTTCGACAAGGTTTGTGAATGGATTGCTACCCTTATCTAAGATCTATTGCGTCACTCATGTTGCCATAATAGGGAATAAGAGCTCAAAAATTATAAAAATATATTAAAAAATATATAAAATATATTAAAATTATATATAAAAAATATATAAAAAAGTAGATATATTGTATATATATAAATTATATATAAAAATATATAAATAATTAAAATAATTAAGGTAGAAAAAATAAATGATAAAAGCCTTAAAGAGAGATGAGGTCGTCTGTAGATTCTAGTCAAAGAATACATGAAGAAATACTGAAGAAATCGCATATTTTCTCCTTTCTTGATGCTCCTAGATTCATGAAAATATCAACCGCAATCGCGAAAAGAATTACAATATTTCCAAATATGTATGCAAGAAAAATTTAATCTCTCCTTAGTAGGAAGATAGAGTGTACAGTCGTTAACGATGCGGACACGAAACTCGATAAACAGATTCGCGCGGATTACATTACGACATTTTAGGGACATTTAAAAATCTTGACCGCAGAACCTCCTCGAAGCCGCGCGGGAAATAAATATCTCCGCAAGATATTGGCGCGAGAGAAAAATTCGACAATAACAACTCGGTGCCTGCCTCCGAGAGTGCAGGTGTGTTCACCGTGCGAAGCAGTACCACGTCGTTGCGGCTGCCCGATCTCTTCCCTTTCTCTCTCCTTCGTGGATGTCCCAAGGTGGGAAGCGCGCTACCATCATCGTTTCGTTCCCCGTCTTTCATCGACTGATTGTCACGCGACATTCGAGCAAGATACCTACGATGAGATTTGCGCATCCGACAACTTAATCCGAAAAATCGAAGCTATTAATCTTCATTCGTCAATTCAAATATGAAATGAACAATTCGATTCATTAGAATTATATTGTAATATTAATTAATATTTTATTAAGTATAATTATATTTATATAATTATAATTTATAATATTGAAGGAGAGCGAAAGGAGCGGAAGATTCGTGTTTCAAATCAGAGACAATTTTTACAAATTATTACTCAAAATTTAAGTAAAAATCGATGAGACTCACCGATACGATACGCAGCAGCAGAGTTATAAACTGTAAAATATAAATACATGGAAATTAGTATATTAGTGAAATTTAAAATAATTAATATTAAAAAGAATAAAATTATTATTTACATTAAGTTTTTTTATTCGATTTAATAAATATTTAATTAAAAATTTGATAGAAACATATTGCAATTTTTATCAACAAATTTTTTTTATAAATATGTAAAGATATTTTATAAATTTATAAATATCGACCACTTAAATATTTACCATAGAGTTGTTCCGTTGATGCTTTCTCCTCGTAGAAGCTTCAAAACACTTGCACTCACGTTACTTTTTCATTCGCGACGAGCGGCGACGTCTAGATTTTAATTAATCACATTTTCGACACGTTTCGGTGAAACGTGAGAATCGCGAGAGCTTCTTCGCGCGCGAATGAAACCGATGCTCTGTTTTCATGTCGCCGCTCTTTTCAAGATCGACTGATTCATCGGGAGTCTTATATGACGATAATTCCACTTCACTACACTTCACTATATTTTATATCTCACTGAACACTCGACGACGAAAAACCATCTCGCGATAAATAACAAAAATAATATGGCGGCATAACCCCGTAATCGTTGTCGTAGTCGACCCGCGATTTTTCGACGCAAATTACGAGCCAAATTCGTCGTGCAACGATACTTCGACACGATGACGCGGAAGAACGACCGGAAACGCGCAATTACCTACTTAGAATACGACCGACAACATCGAAAAACTCGGAAAATTATCGCGTCAAAAATGCCCGGTGCCTCTCGCGATCCACCCTCGGAAACTTGCGCGCGCGAACTTTCGGCGGCTTGAAGTTGGAGCTGTGACGTCACGCGTCACGTGACAGCGCGCTTTCGGGCGGAGGACGAGCGCCGAGCAAGATTCGCGGCCGACAAATCAATTCAAGTCAATCTCGCGCGTGCGATGCGATCACGATGTCGGGTCACGCGACGCGATCAGATGTATACGGTAATTAACGGCGTAAAGATACTAATTAATACTTATATTCGCGTACTTTCGCGGACCGACGCGGACGAGTGCGCGAACATTGATCATGAACAACGCGAAGTGCACCAGAGGGCGGCAGCACTCTGGAAATATATTCATCTAGAATTCGATCTCCGATTGGTGGACTAAAATTTGGTCGACCAATCGGAGATCTAAGATCTCTGTCCTGATTGGTCGATCTTGTTTTACTATAGATGAATATATATTTTCAAACATAATCTAGAATGTTGCCCTCTAGAGCACTTTCTCATTATTCGTGATCAATGTGCATGCATTCATCACATAGCGAAAGTCCTGATTGTGGTTATTAATTAGTGTCGTTAATTATAATTATCGTATAAATTCGATCGCAATCGCAATGATCGCATGCGTTTACAATTCCACTGCTTGCGCATTGTATCGGTGAGACTCAATTTTTACTTAAATTTTTAGCAATAATTTTATGAAAATTCTCTCCGATTTTGCCAAAATTTTATTTACAATATTGTTTATTTTTGTGCGAAACACTAATCTATAAATGAAAATCCGCCTCCTCTCTTCTACTTTTTTCGGAGAGCTTTCCTTCACTATTACCTTTATAATTATTATAAATATTATTAATAATTATACATATATAATATTGTAATATTATAGTACAAAAAATATATAATTATATAATTATTAATTATAATATAAAGAAAATGATATAAAACGTCCTCATCAACATTGAATTAAGAAATATTGCATTGCTTCAACAATAAAATTGTATACCTATATACAAGATTCAAGTTTGCGCAACCTTGTAACATATAAACATTTTTTCATGCATTCTTCTGCTTCTTCCGGATGCATAACATCGAAGGCAAGACTGGATCGAACTGAAGATACAAAAAAGAATGGAAGAGATTATATCCAAACGCACACACGGAGATATATCTGCATGCGTGATTAAAATTACCGATTTCCGAAATAGGAAAATCGCATCTCTCTCTCTCTCTCAATATGGAGGTCGTAATAGCATCCGCAGATCCGGTCGGCGATAATCCTCCTACGGAATCGTCATCGTCACGGACGGATACGGATGTTACCCAATAAAACACTCTGTTTATAAACTTGCATCGTGAGCGGTTGCGCTTTCCTAACGGGACCGAGGCGATTATAAAGAATCTCACGATGTCGCAATCGATGGCGCATATCAATCGGCCGAGCCGAGGTATTCATTAACCCGCTGTCATTATTCCGTCATTATTCTTGACGGAGAGAGGGGAGAACCCTTTCGTCTTAATTCGGCGCACGAATTTCATAAATCGTGTGTCGCAAGCGCGAGATTGCGAGGGTAAACGCTGACAGAGAGGTAACATGACCAATCGCCGAGGCTCTTCTGCATAAGATGTGCTTGTGTATACGACACGATGACTCCATATACCGCTATATCCATCGACATTCTGGCATCGATGCGGACGCAGATATTCGTGTCAGGATCCGGATAATTATTATTATTATTATAACCACGGCCGAGATACATACATACTTGTCTAAATGATCCGGATATCTTGGATTGCAGCCTCAAATTGCTTACCTTATTTTGTTGCCGGTCAAAGAAAATTAATATGATAATTAACGCGGCTATTAATCTAATTAAAATAATGTTCTCTCATTTTCTATCAAATGTTTATATGCATATTTGTGCTTAATTGTATTTCATTTGATTGATAATTGCTTAAATAACGTGTTAATGTGAAATAATTTTATAGTAACGACATTAATTGTGTCCCAGGTAGCAAGTATATACGTCTTTAGGGTGTCGGTAAATTCTAAAAGGAGAGTAATCCGTTATTGTAGATTTATTAAGGCCTGCGTAGCAAATTGCAACGACGATGGAACGAATCACTTTGCTTCTTGCAACTCGTCGTCGAGTTGCGAGAAAAAAATCGAGAAATCTCGAATGACTGAGAGACCCACTTGCATCAATTCCGCTTATGCGATTGGTATTAAAACCGTTCTAAACCGTTTTACCGATTGATGTGCCATTTATTGCGGAACTTGAAGAAAAGCAATAAATTTAGTAAAGTGCCGTGAATGGACAAAATATTAATGGTCGATTATACATTTCATGACTCGTCTGTGTATGATGGAAACACACTTTTCCGCTTCTAGATTATATAGAAGATTCTTTTTCGTCTTCTTAAAAAATATCTGAAAAGTTTATCATCTTTAATTCATGTTAAATAATTCAATGCTTATGTCATATAAACGTTACAATATTTTCTCGAAGAAGAAATGAGCGAGAAAAATAATTAGAGCGAATAAAAGTTAACTGGATAATTTTGAGAAAATAAATAATTTGTATATTTGCTATTTTTCAGGGTGGCTTTCGGCTTCAGATCTTAGATTTTTACGACAGACCCCTGATCGATCTGACGCCCATCACGCGAAACAGCGAATTCGTCGAGGACGATGCTACGTAAGTGTGAACATAAGAAGCGTGTCATCTCTTCCAATTTGTCGTAAATCTGACACGTGTTGTTTCTTTGATTTGCAGGGCGCAGAGCTATGCCGTGCAGCTGCCGCAAGATTTCACCTGCACCGACTGCACCATCAGACTGCTGCGGGAGGCCGAGGAATGGGGCTCCAGCTACAGATTTTGGTCGTGTGCCGACATCGATGTGAGTTTCTCATGATTTCTCTTTTGGTACAAATGTAGCTGCTTTTATTCTCTAACTCTGTTAAATAATGGGACGATTCAACACATAAACTGAGACAATATGAACATGAATTAATTACAACGTGAGTTCTTCTCGCGGCATTTAATAAATAGACATTTGGTCTAGTATTCAAGAAAAATTGTGAAAAAAATTATAGTTGAAGAAAAAATGCATAAGAGGAACTGTTCTGACATCTTTCAAAAGAGAACATACAAGAATATATAGGAACTGAGGAATTATTAATATTTATTTTTAATATTTAATATTTTTTTTCTTACAATTTTTCTGACAGATCCGTGACAAGAAGGACTATCGAGAGGATTGTAGCGGTCACGGACGTTACTTGCTGGGCAGGTGCAGATGCGATCGTCTTTATCACGGCGCGAGGTGCGAATTTAAGGAGGAATGCCTGGACGACTCGGACTGCGGTATTCAGGGCATATGCATCGACAATGGCGGCACGACCGCGCCTACCAAGTACTGCTACTGCACCACCGGCTGGTTCGGTCCGGGTTGCGCGAAAAGTAAGTTTCACCGCGGAAATTCCTTTCGAGAATTTCTCGCGCCACTGGGACACTTCCTCGTCACTCGATATTAGAGTGTTTCTAATGTAGAAAATGTGAAATATCTTTTCTTTCCCTCAGATTTTACTCTAATTTTTTTATCTCATATTAAACTTGTCTTTTGAAAATTTATATCTTGTGCATATTTTTATTTGAAATATAATACATTAATAGTTTGTAATAAAACAGATTTTTGAGAGAAAAATTATTTTAAATTGCCTAAATCATCTTCGAATTCGATGACTATTTGTAGGATCACCGGTAAAAAACATCGACATAGACTTGAACTCGTACACAATGAAGCGATTCTCCGATGACATCATGTTCTACTGGAGAATCTTGAAGGACAGCAAAGAGCTCGAGGGCATCCTCGTAGCCAACTCGACGACGTGGATCGGTATTGGATGGAGGCCCGACGATCTGGGCCCGACCTGTCGATCCTTCCCGATGATCAGGGATATACCCGAACCGCTTCCGCAGCCGGAGCCAAAATTGGAAACAGAGCCGAAATCGGAACCAGAACCCACAGCGGAACCGGAACCCGAGCCAGAACCGGAACCAGAACCCGGAGATGGCGAGAAATCGATAGCGAAGAGGCGATCGGCTAAGGCGGACGCTGCGACGTTTGTAACTTCGCGACCGGATGCCGACGTCACCGTGCAGACCAGCGTAACTTATCAAGTCAGCACGAAGCAAGGTAAGATTTTTAAAATTGTTTAATTTTTTCATGTTATTTCGGAAAAGAAATATTTATCGTTGTAATATGTTTGCCGAATTGTATTTTAAAATTATTCTAATCGACTATATATTTTTCTTGAACTTTATGTTTGCTATAACATTATTTTTGTTAACGAGGATGATTATAAGATTGCTTTTGTATTACGAAGAAAAATGAATGAAGACGCATTCGAAGAGTGCTTATATTTTTTTCTACTATTGCGCACGGCAAACAATCGCTAATACACTATTATTATTGCTCGATGTATTCCGACGTGTTATATTTGATCTGTGTAGGAGTTCAAGGAGCTCGTAATTACATAAATGTCGGTCATAGAAAAATGACAATATGAACAAAAGTAATATGCGTTTGAATAATGAGACATCAGGGGCATTAAATATTACATATGAACAAACATTACATTTATACACTTGTATTATTTTTATCTACATGTGAGTTGCAAGTTCTTTTAAAACTGAAAGTTTTAATGTCGTTATTGTGTCGTAATATGACTTGTCAATTGCATAAAAAAACTTTTATGCTTTGAACCGAATAAGAAATTATTTACAACGTGATCTTTGTAACCATTCCTGCTAAATGATTTCTGTGAGACGTTCTTTGATTGATAATTAATTTTTTTTGCGTAGGTCGCAAGAAAAGATCTCCGGAACCAATCTCGGTGTCTACGAACGGTATGTATCGTACATTTTATATCCACAGAACAGTCCCGATGAGTCGCTCGCTTATTCAAGAATCAGTAGTGATACGTAGTTTTATCCAAAAAAAATCCCAGTAGTCTGTACTAATCCTTTGTACGATTTGTAATTACCTTATTTCGAGACACGACGCACGAGGTGATGGTCCCTATAAGTAGGTAGTTCGCACGACGCGACGTACGATACTTTGTTGCACAGGAAAACCGGTCGCCAAGTCCAGCACTGTCATCAGGCAAGAACCGAAATCCGAGCCAGAACCTACCTCCGAGCCAGAACCCAGCTCAGAACCAGAACCCAGCTCAGAACCAGAACCAAAATCCGAGCCTGAACCCAGTACTGAGCCGGAACCGAAATCCGAGCCCGAACCTAGCTCTGAGCCAGAACCGAAATCCGAGCCCGAACCTAGCTCTGAGCCAGAACCGAAATCCGAGCCTGAACCCAGCTCTGAGCCAGAACCGAAATCCGAACCGGAACCTAGCTCTGAACCAGAACCAAAATCCGAACCGGAACCTAGCTCTGAACCAGAACCAAAATCTGAGCCAGAACCCAGTTCCGAGCCAGAGCCGAATTCCGAGCCAGAGTCGAATTCCGAGCCAGAGCCGAATTCCGAGCCAGAGCCAAAATCCGAGCCAGAACCGAAATCTGAGCCAGAGCCAAAATCCGAACCGGAACCGAATTCTGAACCGGAACCGAAATCCGAGCCGGAACCAAAATCTGAACCGGAACCTAAATCTGAACCAGAACCCAACTCGGAGCCGAGGCCAAAGTCGGGAGCGACGAAAGGTAACGAATGGACCGATTTAACGCTTGTTTATGCACATATATCAAACTCGCCACGCTATATCATTAACTCTTGAGCTACCAGAGATTTTTGCTTTTTAACTCTCTTGTTTAATGAAGTATTTTTATTTTGTGTTTTTAAAATTCTAATATTATACGTAAAACTATTTTATTTTATATTATTTTCATTGAAATGCGAAAAAGATGAAATGTAAAGAAATGTAAAGAAAATCTCTCGTAGTGATAGCCATCAGATCATCTCGACAATGATCAGTATAGTACATATACATACATCACCTACATTACTTTCGGTATTCGCGACTTTCACGATGACCGTAAGGGAAAACTTTGTACAACTGGAACGTGAGGTCCGTAACGGTAAATATTTGCCGAGAAAGCGTAATTAGCGTAGCTGATAAGAGAAGGTAGAGAATAAAATCTATTCCGTGCGTCGCTTCTACCGGATGCGGCACCGATTGCAAAATCTTGTTAACGCAACTGCGCTGACACTGCATATACATACACGTATAAATGTCCGTTTTATTATTTTGCCAATCGCGTTCTTAACGCAACGGTGTAAAGAGAAACACTTGTAGATATAATATCGATAACGCTTATGCTTCATGTCTCCCGTCCTCCTTCTTCTCCTTCTCCTCCTCTTCCTCCTCCGCTCGTTAATCATCCCGAATTTTATTTTTTCTCCTGTAAATACATATAATCCGATAACTCTCGGGTTGTAGCATGCATTTACTTCGACACGAAATTTGCACGTGTCTCGATTTCCGTCACGATGTTTTCACCGACACCGTAGGACCATCATTTAAACTCGCATTACCATAACATCGACTCATCTCATACGGATGAATAATTAATCCTTCATCGATTAGAATACATTAAAAAAGAAAATAAAATAGGAATGATAGAGAAGAAATTATTTAAAAAACAATTTTTAAATATAATGATTATTGTAAAATATTTGTATAGGATCTTCGTCCTTCTTGTGACTTTGTGTGATTTAGAAACGTCACCAAAAAATACATATCAGACACACACTACCTCTCTCTCGATTCATTATTCAATTTCATCGTAGGCATTTTTCTACACGAATGCAAATATTGCGTCAACTAAATTTACATGTTCTCGAATAAAAAGCATCGTTACCGGCACCGGGGCACAAGTACACGCCCAAGCACGACTTCAACCCGATGGACTGCACGGACATCATCATCGGCATGGCGCGAGGGACGAATTACAGGATCGGCGATTATTACACGAGGGATCGCTCGACGCCCCGGAAGGACGAATACTGGGGCGGAAGAGACAGCTTGACGGCCGCGTACGGATACGAGCGTGACGGCGTCACGACGATTCTCTTCCGCAGGAGATTGGCCGCAACGGAGCCGACCGATCACGAGATTCGCGACGGCAACATGCAGGTGATTTGGGCGAAAGGTCAAGAGCCGGGCAAGTACGTGCACCATCCGGCTAGCGGTATCGAAAAGGCCAAGGCTAACGTCAAAGACTTCTACAAGGTCGACGAGCTTAAATATCACGGCCACAGAACGCAAAGAGGCGCCGTGATGATGAATTTCTTCGGTAAGGCTTCTATTCATGCTTGTCTCTCGCTCGCCCATGTTTATTCGCAAATAACGAAGCACGATTTAGCATTCCGTTTATATAAACCTGCTGAGATTGGCATCTTCTGTAAAACTGTTTCTCGTAATATATTCTCGAATAGTTTGAACACGTTCAAAAAATTGCGCTGTCATTTTCGTCAATAGTTATAAATTCTATTCGTTTCTTTTTCATTTTACGACAAACATAAATTGATTATTTCGCGCGTAACATTTCTCTACGTTTCAGAGGAAGTTAAGAAACCGGAATTCGCCGGCGGTGTAACGTTAGAAGACGGTCGCTGCGGTGGTCAGTGGCGTTATCCGAGAAATTGTTTGCCGGAGAATGGCACTTGCGAATACGCCATAGAATGGACGTACAAGGGTAAAAAGGTAATCTGTCTCATATTTTTCCTCGACGTTTTTGTTTTCATCCGCGGGAACGGACAAAGCCCGATTCCTCTCTCCGACGAAATCAATATCATGGAAATTCTTCTCCTTAGGATCTGATAACATTCGTCATTTCCACTACGAACACCAATACGTGGACCGGAGTTGGATTTTCCGATGACGGCAGCATGGTAAGAAAAGTTTATCGTATATTTGTGAATTATAATATAAATTGGTCTGAAAAATTAACTATTGAGAGAGAAAGTCATTACTTAACCGAATCAGAACTTTCTTGAAAAAGGAAAGTGTGTCGCATAAAAAGAAACTCCAGAACTTGCAAGATTTATAGATAATATTGCATTTTGCTTATATTTTTCTCTTTTTAATTTTTAGTCGCAAACCGATGCCGTGCTTGGCTGGGTCGATAAGACGAACGGTCGAGCTTTCCTGATGGACACTTGGATCAGTGGCTACAACGCGCCGTTGCTAGACCCATCGCAAGACGTTTACAACATCAGTGGCCGTATCGAGAACGGTGTAACTACTCTGAAATTCTCAAGAAAACGTGTAACGGAGGACAGCAGGGATCTTTCGTTCACGGACGATCATTGTCTATACATGATGTTCCCGGTAAAAGGTGGCGTATTCAATCCGATCAATAAGAAGATTCGAAAGCACGACGCGAAACCGGTTGTTTCGTCGGATAGAATATGCATCAAGTCCTGCGGCTTGGAAGGTAAACATTGACTAAGAATTCATTGCATTCTTATGACTTATTGAAATTGTTGATGTGACTACTAATATAATTTTTTCAATGACTTAGCGACTGTTTATTATTAATGAATTGCATCATCTGCTTTTACTTAATTACACATCATTAAAACGATTGACACGCGATTGTGGTGTTTATTTATGACAATTCTTTTTTATCAGAAAATAATTTTTTGTAATCACATCAATTTTTATAATGTTTATTAACAGACATTAATTTAAAATGTTTTAAAATGCCAAATGCTAAACTTATTGTTCTAAAATATGTCTGAGATTAAATGCTGTAAAAATATTGTGTATCTAGACAACGAAGACCAAACCACGCCCGCGCCACCGAGGTTGCATTACGATATCGAAGTCAAGCTCGTTAATCTGGGCGACGGATTTATAACTCCCGAACCCGGTAGTGCCGACTTCGAAGTGATCTCGAACAAGATATCAGACAACTTTGGACCAGTCTTTGAGAAACTGCCCGGCTATTATCAAGTTCGACTCGATGAATTGCGAAAGTAAGACAAAGTACTATCTCGAGAAACCGAAAAGCGTTGCAATTCTTGCAGATTTTATTATGTATATATATTTTTCTTTTTTCAGAGAAAACGAACAGGGAGTGATCGCCCGTATGAATCTAATCCTCGACAAGAACGAAGCTAAGGGCAGATCATTGAAAGCTGCTGACACCGAGATAGAGGTGGAGAAAGCTTTACGCGAAGCACTGATAACTGGCAAGGCCGGAGCACTTAGCGTCGATCCACAATACTTAATAATCAAAGCACCCCGAGGTAAACCTCTATAATCAGTATATAAATAATTATAAAACATTTTTCAATTCTTCTAGTATACCGAACCATTTTTTTCATATCTATTTCAAATTGAACCTAGACTTGGTTTCTTCCTAACAGCGCATATAACATAGCAATCAATTAACAATTTTGAAAATCATATAATTAAATTAAAACAGATCAAATAACGTTATTTTTTAAATATTAATAAAATGCGAAAGATGAAGAAAAGGCTTAATTATTTACAATATTTATCAGTCTTCTTCAATGTATCATCGAGAATGATAAAACAGTGATAAAATGTGACATGCTTGCTTTCAGTGAACGATATTGAGGCGGAAGATGAAAACGATCGGTCATCCTCGGATCTATTTCTGGGCACGACGAAGCTCTACATCGTCGTTGGTTGTGTAGCAGCGTTGCTGGCCCTTGCATTGCTGCAGGCTAGTTGTACTCTCTACAGGAGCTCGAAAAGACGAGCAACTAAGGTATGTCTTTTGTGTGTGTACATGTCTTAGAACTTTTCCTTCTTTGCATATTTTTTTGCTCCACTTTTCTCGCATCCTCAGGTCCTCCTTCTGAGTGTGTTGTGTTTTGTTGTTTCTCTAACGATCTTATCTGATACCTAACGTGTTCCAAGAAACATATGTAATATTATCAAAAAATTCTACCTTATTGAAGGAAACATAATTTGTAGACAAAGCATTTGACTGAATTTGTTATAATTTTTCCACATTTAATAATTTAACGTCGTAATTAGAAATAACTTATAACAGCTAAACAAATTTTAAAGCCACAAGATAATTTCGAATATGTTGATCAGTTTTTTCTTTCATTTTCTTTTGGAAGTAGTTCGAAGGATTTACTTGTGCCTCTTTTCTTGGAACACCCTGTAGCGTACATACTACATACACTTTCATCCCCTAATGAACCCAAACGTCTATTGCTTCGCTTGTGTTGCATGACCCGCACTCCTTGTGACCAAAAAAGAGGGTGTACTCGCTGCCTCTGGCTTCCTCCGATGCGTCCAACCCGATTCATCGCACGAATACCGCGACGCGGTATCATCGACAAAACGGCGATCATCATCACCACCATCACAACAACAACAACAACAATCACCATCACCATCATCATCACCAACTTCGGCATCAATACCAACACGCCCCGTCCGAAATGCATCGAGCTAATCCCAGCTGGTAGAATTCCTCGTCGAATATAACCGGTGCGCAATATTACACTCTTCCTACACATTTCTTTCGCTCATCGATCAAAGCTTCGCTTGCTGCTAATCTGACTTTTCGTTTCGCATTCTCCTTCCTTGAGTTGCATGCTCCGCACCTTCCTATAAAAGTGGCCTTACCAAGTCTAATATTTCTCACTAATATGGGACTAATGGGGATTAAAGTAATTTGCATAAGTAACATTATTTTCATTCTTCCTAATTGTTGACAAACACTAAATTTGCTACGTTTTTTTTTGTTGCAGGAACGTTTGATCGTCAGCAATGCCTGGAAGGACTATGCTTCCGGCGCGAACACAAACTTTGCATTCGACGCATTCGAGACGGAGGAGAAGGCGCCACCGCCACCAGTTTCCAGTCTGCCGAGACCCAGAGAGATGATGACTAGTAACGGAATGACTATCATGAACGGTACCGACACCATCGAGGGACCAACTAGAATGGTCGGACCCAGAGCAACCTATAGTCTGCCTCGCGCACCTGGTGCCAGACACTCGGCACCTATCCAACCTGGATACTACACGCAAGATCGCAGGGATCATTACGGACGTCCCAGGAGCATGCACAACCCGACGGGTACCCAGGCGAATCAGCCGGACTTTTACTTTATGCCCAGTCAGCGAAAGTACAGCGGCGAGGTCGTGCGCGTTTACGTGGATTACGGCAGCCAGATGCCGAAGTAAGAGTTAGACCGCAAATTACGCGATAGAACGTTTTAACCGAGAAGCCTCACCGAAGCGACTTGTACATATATATATATATATACATATATATCTCAATTAGTGACGCGGAGAAAAGGACTCGCAGCGGTGCTATTATCTCTATTTTGTTCTTTCCCTTTCCCCGCGACTTCCCTTTCTCGAAGGGATCCACTTGAATCAACAGCTGATGAAATGTCGGAGAGGGAAGTCCCCGTACGAAAGCATACAAGTGACGCTTTACGACCAAAGAAAGTTATACAGTTATGGCGCCTACAATCCTGTACAGAGCGCGTAAACTCTTGTCAAACTTTTATGCTTTTGTGGTGGAAAATGTATAGTTACGTAAGCCTATATGTAGTCGAGAATCTGACACTTAGATCCAAATATGATGTGTCTTAATGTTAAGTATCCGAAGATTCAAGAACAATCCAAGGATCTTAAAATTTAATATCAAGAAAATATATAAGGCGCTCTAAAATTATAGAGCGTATATACAGAAACCCATAAATCCTAAATTAATAAGATCCAACCATTCTGAAACTTTAAAATTGAAGACCCAGAAAATTATGTATGTAAGGTAATATTTTGTTCGATGGATACGCGTATCCGCTCTTTGCGCAATGATATCGACGCACGCCCAATAAATGCATCTACTTAAAAAGAGCAAGCATGGACGTATAAACAATAAAATATTTGTACATTTCTAAACAGAATTGATGCGTCCTCTTTTTTGATAGATTACCATTACTTATCTTCAAAGTATTATATATATATATGTATATCTACAAAGAACAAGAATGTCATAGAAGAGAAGCGACAATATACACGAGATATAACGATTGAAATAAACGTGCGTAGAGAGCACATCTGCGACGATTGAAACGATTGTTTAGTTGTTATGGATAAAAGTTGTAATGCCTGTGACAATGATGACACTGTCGATATAGAGAATCGTGTTGGTACGGATTATAAATTATTACAATAGTAGGTAAAATTAACGATATAATACTTGTAATAATCATAATAACGATAGTTGTAGCAGCAGTAGTAACGATGGCAATAATATTACAGTATTAATTACATTAATGTCGTTAACAACGGCGTCGCGTGCAGCCAGACTTCCGGGATATCTCCACTAGCGCGATGGAATATATCATAATGTAAGGCGACGCCAAAGATAGGCTCTCTCTCTTTCTTTCTCTCATTCTATATACTCTCTCCCTCTCTTTCTCTCTTCTTTTTGTACCTTCGAAAGTACGCAAACATATATCCGGAAGCCAATTGTGGCACGCACTGCCCGCGTTCCTATATATTACGTAACTAATATCGAGCACATATTTCCGGCCCTACCATAAAGTTTATTTTATTGATTTTCTCCTGTCACACGTGCGAAGTTTGAGAAAACGACTTCTACGCGAATCTAATACTTCTTCATAGCATACTCGACGAACGCGCGAGCGCAAAATCATCTAGTCCGTACGAGACGAATAAACGCGCGAACAAACTATTGGTGTTTATCAGAAGTTTGCACCTCGAAACGGTTTGTGGAAAATTATATGTACTCGCGTTCGACGAGCATGCTGATTTTTCGACTTGTCGCGATCTCTCTATTTTCTTTTTAACTTTTCATTCATACATGCAATTATATTTTTCTAACTCGCTCTCGCGCTCTCTCACGCTTTCTTTCTCTCTCTTTTTTCTCTGTTTTCCTGTCTCTCCCACTCTTTCTCACCCTTCATTCCCTCGCACGCACTCCTGTCGTCACCATCATCGGCACTTGTACATATAACTCGTGTCAACACATCTTTCTCTCCGTCGGTCAAAGCGGTGTAGTTAAAGAATACGAACAGGCGAACATCTGATAAATGGAGTGAACACCGTAATAAGGCTTAATTTAATTTGTTAGTAACTTGTGTGATCCTGCTATGCACGCATTTGCTGCACAAAACCTGCTTTCACGCAGGCGTGCACTATGAATGGCCCACTCGAGCTTGCTGCAGTCCATTTTCAGTGTTTAGTCCACACATTTGTGACATTATACCTCTCTCTCATTCAAGTCCCGTTATCTTTATGAATTTCCTTTATAACACTCTGTGACACATGACAGCTCTTCTTTCCATTTCTATCGCGTCGCTCTTTGTTCGTTTATTTGTTGTTTCACTTCCTCTGCCTGACATCGGATTCCTTGTTGGGCGTCGGTTTACTACAAATTTAACGAAATGAGATATCAGATGAACAGTCGAATACGAGAATTTTATAGAAAGTTTCTATTTAATGTAATTTATAGTCATATTTGAAAACGCTGCAAGTTATAATTATAAAGAATTAAAATAGGAATGGAACGAATAGGATAAATAATCTTCATCTACGTTTTTCTTTTCGTAAACAATTGGGACAGATAATTTAGCCAAGCCAGGACAGATTTTAAAATACGATATTTCCGGAACTTATCCGTGATAGGATCGGAGTGAACATTCTTGGTGGATTGTGACGTTGAAGATGAGATTGGAAGGTCGATGGGAAAAGATCCGTGTAATAAAACGTAATAATCCAATAATTCATCGAGGGAGATGAGTTCTAAGACATTATGTCTACGGATAAAAAGTTAAAAATAATTTACACATATTCCGTAAAGATTTTCAATTAAAATAGCAAATATATAGATGGATAGATAGGCAGTATATAAAACATACTTACGTATCGGGACTCTGATCAGTATCGGATTCCTCAAGTTCGGCCTTGTTCCGCTTCTTCTCGTAGACCAAGATGATGGCGCACAGAACAACGACCTCCGCACAAATGCCTAGGAAGGGCCAGAGTGCGGCAAGTTTGTCCTTGACTCTGAGGAATGTCTCGGCCTCCGACGAGTGATCCGTAACGTATGGATCGGTCCAGTTGTACGACGCCCTGCAGATGACGTTACCGCGATCATTCATCTCGATGTTTTCGACGGTCAGAACGGCGCCGTAGATACCCCTCTCCGAATCCTTGCTGATCTTAACGCGACCCGTGCTGCTTGTATAATTTTCACTCCCGAAAGTCCAGATTATCTTTACGCCGGGGTTCAACTTTCCGCCGCATACCAAGTGTAACTTTTCTCCCTCCACCACGCTGGTAGATTCAGCGAGATGCGCTGTCGGCCTTGCTGAAATTTTAGAATGCCAAATATGAAACAAAGATTACTTCAAGCGTAACATCTTAACACAAAAAAATTTTTTTCTAAAACAGATATACAGGATGTCCCATAGGAAATTGCTAAAACTCAGGTGTCATTTTTTAATGCATGCAGTTATTGAGAAAACAAAAATTGTGTTGGAAAAAAGGGTCTGCAGGTTTTAATGAATATAAATAAAATGTTTGTATGCCAGTTTATTTTATTGAAAAAAGTAATGAAAAAAGTGCTCATATAGCTGATTAGTTCCTATGGGACACCCCCTGTACTTTCATAATGTAATATTTCAGTAATGAAATTTTTGTGTAAGATGCTTATTTTTAACAGATCTTTGATGCAAAATTAAAATATCAAATTGTAGAATACTCACGTAGGACTCTGTACTCGATCGTGGAGTTCGGGCCAACTATACAAGTGTAATTTCCAAGAACCTCCTCCTTGTCTTTTAAAATCTCCAGACTACCAGTCTCGTTGTCGAACTTGATGAGGTCTTCGTGGCCAGGTAGCGCTCTGCTCAAAGATACCTTCTCCTTCTGCCACTGCACTTGTTTGCCATCGCTCTTGTTTGTGCATTCCAGCACCAATGGTACGTCTTTGGGCGTAAGTACTTTGACTCTTATATCTGTCGAGCAGGGAAAAATATTTTTTTCGACGCTTCTGTGCAAATATAATACATGCAACTTGTAGTATAAAACGAATCATCGAAAAGATACACGTATGCGTTTTTGTATTTTCCTAAAAAGATTTTTTTTTATCCATTTTTTATCTTATGAAAGAATCTATTTATAACTTTATCCTAAATTACTCAAATATTATAATGCAGGTGAGTGACGATAGCAACTACTACTACTACTACAGTTATATTTAGAACGTCCTAAATATTCTGTAATAATAGCTAAGAAATACATGGCACGTACATAGCTGAAGAGAAGCAAACAATTTGTTCACATTCTACTTTTGTTCATTCACTTTCATTTACTATATACGAATTGTCTAAATGTCATCGTTTTTGCAAGAGATATGTTTCCAATTTTTTTTCAAATATAGAAATATTCATCGTATGTTTCAGTTATTAAAATTGAAATTCTTTGTTATCTATAATAAATTAATAAAGATATATTAATTATATATTATACAATTTAATTATATAACGATAATTAACGAATCAATCATAAAAGAGTAATGTCATGAAATATTATATTCATAAAAAAAGATTACCAATTGATAAATAATTATATGCAACATATGCAAAGACAATTTAAATATCATAATAATAATAAGAGCAGAGACATATCATTACTGTGTGTATAAAAATAACATAAATATCAAATTATGGCTCTTGCATACAGATGACAGTTTATGCTAATATAGTTTAAAAGTAGTTTACTCATGCATCGATGAATAGCACAATATATAAATATTATTATTAATATTTTTTCTAGTCAATTTTTTTTCATATCAAGAAAAGTGAATAAAACTCTTTCGAGCATGCAATGAGGCAATAATCACGAGTTTTTGCTCGAGATAGCAGTGACGGAAAATATCAAGTTATCAAACGTTATCACAGATGTAGAGACAAGATTTTAGATATAGGCCATCTAAAGCTGTAAATACTTGAGCTTATTAATTTAATCGATATAATCGATATTTAGCTATATTTATTCGACAGAGGAATCTAATAAATACGCGTGTTAATAAAATAAATTAAATAATAAAATAGGATAAAGTAAGTATAATTCTGTAATAATGGCTAAATACATACATATATGCTAATTTTCTTAATGGAAACTGTGATAAAGGTATGCCGTATCTCGTCGCGGGAGGGAGAAGAATGTGCGATGACGTATATATATATATATATATATATATGTATATATATAGAATGTTGTAGAACAATCGTCGAAAATCTTTTCAATGACAGATTTTGAAGTGAGATTCAAAATTTCCCAAATAGCAGACTGAAATCATTTTGACGTCTAATGACGTCATTTGACGTCTCACAGTTGAAAAATTTGTGTTAAATTTAGCAGATATCACATGTCTCAAACAGTCCACAGAAACTTTTGTATTAATATTTTAACACAAAATAAATGTAAAACTTCAAGTAATTTAAAATAAATTTTGTATAAAATTAACATAGTTTTAATGAACTAAAAATATATGTTAATTTTAGATTTTATCATCCCCATTTATATTATAAAATAAAAAAATCAACATTTTCTTCTGTAACTTTGAACAGATAAATCTTGTCATTAATAAAACAAAATATATTTATTGTGTAAAATTAAAAGTAGATGAACATTGTATTATTTTTATATCTTTTTCAGTAGTTTAATAATTTAACATTTAAGTTCAATTATATATATATAACACAACAGCAATATGTTAAATTAACACATGAATGTGTTAAATATTTAACACAAAAATTTTAACGGGGGACTGTTTATAACAAGAAAACAAATTTTTCTACTGTGTAATGACGTCATTTGACATCTAATGACGTACATTTGCTAGGTGTGTCAATGAGTAACATGTGTACTGTACGAACCGAAGTTTATCGAGAGGTGGAAAAAACTCCGGACTGTCGTTTGTGCATTTATAATCTCCATCGTGGCTCTCTGTTGCTAGGATCGCCGAAAGTTTGCTAGAGCCACTGTTAGGTTTTGAGAGGACAACCAGCTGACCGCTGGACAGCTCCGGTTCCAGCATCTGGCCGTTCCTGGTCCATCTAATTTTTTCACCGTCCTTCAAGTCGTTGCCACTCGATCTCCCAACTTTGTCCCTCGTTAACGATCGCCTTTCCCGAATACGTCACTGTTATCAAAAAGAGAACAAAAATATTCAATTTGAAAGATACATATGAGAAATTGAGATAAAGACCGATATCTCATTACGTTTTTAATTTGATTCGATAAGCTGCGATTCATCACTCAAGTGAATTTATAATTAGTTTTCTTATGACATGACAAGATTTCATAACATTACAAATGTATAAGTGATAAGAAATATATATGCATTGTTGTGCTTAGATGATTTTAAAATTAGCTAGGTAAAGATGAGATAAAAATATTTAAATTTATTTTAGATAAGATGAAGAGAGATGATTTTGTTTTATATCTTTTGTTAAATGTACTAGATAAAAGATAAAATTATCCATCTAGATAACTTTCAGATAATATTATTTTTAAGACTGCTTATGTAAACACATAGTTTAAAAAAATATAAATTATAAAAGAAATTTAAAAATATATTCACATACTTTTATTAATAAATTTTTATCGCTTACTGCTCAAGTTCTACTAATTAAGTATTTTTATGTGCTGACTCTAAACCAAATTATCTGAACATTATTCTAGATAATTTAGAGTGAAGATAATACTTTTTTTCATCTAAAATGCAGATATAAATAATAAATATTTTTATTATCTATATAAAGATAAGATGACGTTAAAATTTAATCTAGATGACCATTTATATAATTTTATTTAGATAACATATATGTAATATCACGAAAAAAAACATGACTGCAAGATTATCGTGAATTATAGTAATCTTCCACAATTAATGGGTTGAAAATAAATAAATATATAAAATAAGGAAAAAGAATTACACGAATTAATAAATCTGAAATGTCGCCATAAGTAATTACTTCAGTATTTTTACAATGACGTGTCTTTCGCTATTATGTGTAGCAGAGAGACCAGACTTGTTTCGAGGAAAATTCATCAGCTGTATTTCCTATGTGACTATAAAGAAGTCACGAAGAGCGAATCGGTATCTGTATAAATGATCAGCCTTGGATAAGACGACCCTCGAAAATATTCACCTCGCGTGGGCAAAAAGATAAACCGGTTAAAGAATCGGTATATAAATTCTAATGAATAAATGAGTGCACCATTGTTTTAACAAGCTACGTTGCTCCGAGAATTTATGTCACAAAGTGATATTTATTACATGCTTTTTAAGTCGTTTTTTTTAAATTAAGAGTTAAAACAATATTTCAATTAAAATACTTAATTCGCTCCGGTAGATATTTTAATTTCCAAATTAAATCGGCCGTCTAATTTATTTTTAAATTAAATTATATAATTTCGTCGAAGTTTCAAGACTCGGCTCGTATACGATCGATCGACACTCGAGAGAGAGATTCACGTGACGAAGTGACTTGACTTTGCCAGAAAATATATATTCGTCCTTACTTTGGATGCAAGAGATCCGAATATCGATTATACTCGGGGAGTCCATGTTTACGCATATTTACGTCAGCAAACTACTCAATAAGAAGTCTTCTCGTTCTTACGTCATCGATTCGCATTAGTGTGAGTGACTGCTATACGACTGAGAATATCGGCCGCACATATATAGGTATATATATATATATATATATATATATATATATGTACATATATATACGATTAGTTGATTGTCAAGTATTCTAGGAGCAGTAAGCTGGAATTTTCTCTCGCGGGAAATAATTGGCGGTAATTTAGCTAATTGCCTTTACTAGTACGCGTTCGCATAGCTTTACACAAACACGAACAGCTGCTCTCGGATTTTAAATTAAGGGAATTCTATACTGAGAAATATTGTCGTATGGGAAAGGGATTAGCTTTAATTAATTTGTTTCGTTACAACTAATTCTTTTCGCGAAAGGTTTTACTTTCGTAATACTTTGCTAATCTATTTCATTCTTGCACAGTAGGAAAATTTGTGTTTTCTTGTTAAAAGTGGTCCCCGTTCAAATTTTTGTGTTAAATATTTAATATATTCATGTATTATAAATTAACATATTGCTGTTGTGTTAATTGAACTTAAATGTTACATTATTAAAACGATTGAAAAAAACAATAATGCAATGTGCATCTATTTTTAATTTTACACAATAAATATAGGTTCTGTTTTATTAGTGACAAGATTTATCTGTTCAAATTTACAGAAAAAAAATGTTATTTTATAAGTGAGAATAATGAAATCTAAAATTAACATATTTTTAGTCAATTGTTACATTAAAACTCTATGTTAATTTTACACAAAATTTATTTTAAATTATTTGAAGTTTTGCATTTATTTTGTGTTAAAATATTAACACAAAATATTTGTGTCTCTATTTAACATATTCATATTATTAACACAAAAATTTCTGTGGACTGTTTGAGACACGTGATATCTATTAACACAAATTTTTCAACTGTGTGTTATTACGTAAAATGTATATATTGAGTAATATTTTATACTGAAAATTATAACAAGCTTGCAAGAATATATAAATCGAGCGTTCGTTGGACACGCGAACGGGTTTGCATAAAATTCTCCTCTCCTCAACAACACCCAGCTATGCGTTGATGACGAATCGGTGGAATTATACCGACGTGATGACGTAGGCGCGTATGTATATGTGTACGTGTGAGTTCTATATCCATGTACATAATGGTTTCGCGGTGATAGTGACAAAACGCGATCTTGGTATAATCAGTGAAAACGATGAGTCAGAGAGGACAAATCATTATTTGAGTCGCCATACGATTTAGAGTTGTAAGTGATCAGAATGAAATATTTACAACGTTATTAACGTCATTCGAGGGGAGAACAATCGATTAGAGGACAAAACAAGCCACCCATCCAGTCTCAAATGTAGTGCCGATAGCGAACTAAATATCATCGAGGGAATTAATGGGCAAAGCGAAATTCCGGAAACTGATAATAGAACTGTTGCTCCATCATTCTCTCGTTATTACAAATTGCAGGGTAGATTAATGATTTTTTAATTAAGTTAAGTTAAAGCTAGTTGCTTGTAAAATTAATTTAGTTAAGTTAAAAGTTGCATGAACAAAAAATAACTCAGTTAAAGTTAAGTTAAAATTAAATTAACTGAAGTTAAATCAAAAGTTAATTTCTAAAAACATTATTTATATTAAATTAGAATTTTGTTTGTTAATTCTTTTAAAATTTATAACAACAAGTAACAATAAAATTTTGATTTTTATATAGAAATATATTTTTTGTTAATTACAATTGATGACAAATCAACATAAAAATTAATAATACTTTAATTTAAAAATAATACGTTTATAACTTATAAAAAAAAATGATATTCAGAGATTTAAAAAATTTAACTTAGAAAACAAGTTAATAAGTTTAAAGTCAAAAATAATTAGTTGAAGTTAAAAATTAATACATTTTAAATTAACTAAGCTAAGTTAAAAGTTATTAATTTTTAACTAATTAACTAGTTATTACCCAACCCTGCAAAATTGTCACAGGCGGTTCTTCAAAGCGATCGAATTAATATAGAATTTTTCTGTCAACCGAATTGATCAAATTTAATTTCGATTATTCAATTATTATTCCGTATTACTAGCGGTAACGTCGAAAATTTTCTACTCCGCTGTTTTTGACGTTTCCGACGAAATTCAATCCAATTTAATGATAGAGAGAGAAAGATAGAAGAATTGTCTGGCGGACTGACACAGCGTCAAATGCGAATCAGCGGGGCACGGTAACTCAGGGAAAATCAATAAACTACGAATGTTATTTTAAGACCACGCTTTCACGACGGCTCCACGCAGCTGAAAATCCACACCAAGTCGAAGGCGAAACGAGGATATGGCGGATTCTTCGTCATTCTCGGCGCATTCCCAGAGAGAATTCTCCGAATTCTCTCTCCTTCCCTCCTCTTTCGATAAGAATGCCGCTTTTGGATGTAGAATATAGCTGATCATTTTTTTCAGAGAGAAAATAAAGGACAAATTTGACAATTTTAGGGCTTTGCTTCAACATAAAAAAATACCACCTCTACATTCAAAATTCAAGTTCGTGAAAAAGTGAAAGATTCACTATAGATTTCGATAAATGAAATCGTAGATAGGTAATCTCTCACTTTTGTAAAATTTTCAGTGAGCAAATTCACTCAAAAACCGCGTAATAGCATACTCCAAATTGGTAAGCAAAAAAAGTTGTGATCTATCATGTACTCTTTTAATTTGAAAAAAATTTATTGCAAATAAGTAATGTCGTTCTTGCAGGAAACATTTGTCAATTTTTTTCATCAAAATTATCACGTTAATATGATGACAATTAAAACATTAAGTAAAAAATAAAGGGCATAATTGGAAAATAAAGGACAAAATTAAGTTTTGACACAATAAATAAATCTAAAGGACAACTAGTTGAAAAAAAGATTGTCCTCTGAAATAAAGGACAAATGGTCACCGTATATATATAATAGGGAAAGCGACGAAAATTAGAAAGGCACGACACCTTTAGAATAAGCGATTGGATGTTTAGGTGAATGACACGTGAACGATTGGATCTTGGATGAATTGAAGGACGCATCCTATATATGGTCAGTACATGATTCACATTTCCTCATAACTGTGTACGTGTCATTCTTCATAGTTCGCATATACAATGCAACGTAAGAGAAAAAAAATCATAATTTCTGCATGGAAAAAATTTTCTCTTAGAATTTATCCTGAAATCATGATAATCGTGGGACAATATTATATACTATTAGAAGAGTTTTATAAGAGTTTCTCTGATCAATATTTACCACAATAAGATATAAAATATGTTCGATTAATTTTATTATGTACATAGTAAAATTAATCGAACATATTTTATATCTTATTATGGTAGATATTATTTTTTATTGTGGCAAAAATATTAATCAGAGAAACTTAAAATTCTTCCAATACCAAATTATCCCACGATTATCATGCTTTTCAAAAGTTAAATTCCAAGAGAAAATTTTTTCTCTGTGTGTAATTTCGTTTTTCATTGATAAGATTTATCATGTTTTTATGACATAGATATGC